CTTGTACATCCAAGTTAACATCAAAATTTTATGTCTACCTCACAGCCTCTAAACTAATTTGGAGGGAATGTGCCTGCCACAGAGGCAGGGGGGTGGGGTGGGGAGATGGGGTGGGGGATCGTGGGAGGGATACTGGGAACATTGGTGGTGGAGAATGGGCATTGGTGGAGGGATGTACTCGACCATTATATGACTGAAACATAAGCATGAAAGTTTGTAAGTCTGTAACTGTACCTCATGGTGATTCATTAAAAAATAAGAATAGGGACTGGAGTAACAGCACAGCGGGTGGGGCATTTGCCTTGCACGCGGTCGACCCGGGTTCGATTCCCAGCATCCTGTGTGTTCCCCCGAGCACCGCCAGGAGTGATTCCTGAGTGCAAAGCCAGGAGTAACCCCTGAGCATTGCCGGGTGTGACCCAAAAAGCAAATAATAATAATAATAATAAATAAACTAATTGGGGGGGGGGGGGTAGCAGTCCCAAGTGGTAGCTCTATGGTGCTAGGGATGGAATCTGGGCTGCTCTTTGTCTATGGTGCTCACACTTTCTTTTTGTCACAATGGTCCCCTGGAATCACACACTCCAGTTGTGTTCACACACACACCTATGAAGCATTGGAGATGGTTGGGGTTCCAGAGGTGCCAAATAGCAGAGCACTCTGGATTGACTGACACATGTGGGCAGCCCCAGGGATCGAACTCAAGGCCTCACACGTATAAGGCAAGCATTTTATGCCCAGAGCCTCCCCTATCCTCTGACCTTCTAATCCTCTAAGTATGAGTCACCAGACCCACATAACCCCTTTTCCCCTTTCATACCTGCTTGGTCTGGCCCCTGACATCTCACACTTCTTTCATTAATTTCTGCCCTGTCTCCAAAGACGGTAAGCCGTTCTTCCAGTGAACACTCCCTGGGGCCAGAGAGGAAGCCCAACAGGCTTTGCATGTGGGAAGCCCAATTCCAGCTCTGACACTTGCAGGACTGACTCCTGAGCACCATTAGATGTGGTCCTGATGTGGTCCTCATGTGCCTCTCAGGGTCAGAGCGATAGCACAGCGGGGAGGGTGTTTGCCTTGCATGCGACCAAGCTGGGTCCAATCCCCAGCATCCCATACGGTCCCCCAAGCACTGTCAGGAGTAATTTCTGAATGCAGAGACAGGAGTAAACTCTGAGCATCATCAGTGTGGTCCAAAGACAAACAAAAAACCAAACCAAACAAAAAACCCCAAAAACAAAAACAAAAAGATAGAAAGAAAAAGCTCTCGGAGATTCACCCAGAGCACCATGGAGACCATTCACCAGTCATGCAGGAAGCGCATTCAGGGAAACAGAGGAAGGTCTGGGTCAGATCCAGTGAGTCCACTGTTGTGATTCTGTGAGGAAAGGCAGGCCTGTGGGAACCCTTGCCCGAACCCCCACCCCAACTTCCCCAGGCGTCGGGGTTGCATCAGGGAGCAGCCTTCCAGGAGACGTGCGTGATTAAGGATCCACTCACAATCCCAGCAGCCTCAGTCATCTCGGCAACACTCGAGCCTCAGCCCGATTCCTGTTCCCTGTGCGCATGTGGGGTTATGTGCAAGTGTGATGCTGAGAGAGAGTGTGCATGCTTGTGTATGAAGCATGCATACACTTGTGACGGTGTATACAAGTAGAAGTGTCCATGTGTGAGTGTGCATGAGTGTTTATGGGTGTAAGTGTACATGAGTGTGAGTGTGTTTGAGTGTGTGAGAGTGTAACTGCATGAGTGTGAGTGTGCCTGAGTGTGTGGATGAGTGTAAGTGTATGTGAGTATATGAGTGTAAGCATACGTGTGTGTGCAAGAGTGTGAGTGCATGAGTGCGAGTATGCATAAGTGTGAGTGTGCATGAGTGTGTTTGGGTACAAGTGTGCATGAGTGTGCGTGAGTGTGCATGCACGTTAGTGTGCGTGTAAATGAGCGTGTACATAAGTGTGTCTGAGTGTGTGCATTCGTGCGAGTGTACATGAGTGTGTGCGGGCATGCGTGAGTGTGTGCATGAGTGTGCACGTGAGTGTGCATGAGTGTGAGCAAGTGCAGATGCACTTGAGTGTGTGCATGAGTATGCATGAGTCCAAGTGTGCATGAGTGTATGTGAGTGTGCACATGAGTGCACAAGTATGAGTGCGAGTGCATGTGTGTGCAAGAGTGTAAGTGTGCATGAATGTGTCCATACGTATGTGTGAGTATGCGAGTGTGATAGTAAATATATGTGTGCGCATGAGTGTGTGTGCTTGTGTGAAAATGTAAGTGTGATATGTGTGTGAATGTGAGTGCCAATGTTCCAGTGTGTTAGCGTGTTGTGTGTGTGTGTGTGTGAGAGAGAGAGAGAGAGAGGAGAGAGAAATGGAGAAACGATAAAAAACAGCTTGAGGAAAAACCAAGAGACTGAGACTAAAAGCAACTGATGGGTGAAGAGAAAAAAGAGATTGAGAGAAAGGTTGAGAGGAAAGAGATGGAGAGACAGAAACTGAGGGTCTGGTGAGGGAGATTGAGAGATGGGGCTGGGGGGGCTGTACCCCAGAGCCCCCACCAAGAGCCCCACGACCCCTCCAGGCTCCTCCCAGCACCTGCCCTGCCCAGAGTCTGTCATACAGAGAGAAGGCGAGGACCCAGGGGCCTGGGCCTGGATCCCAAACGGGGGCAGGAAAGGTGACCCAGTATGACATACCCAGAGGTCAGCGGTCCCTTCTGCAGTCTCCGGGAAACTAAGAACTGAGTCTGGAAGAACCCCCGGGGCGTCAGGGTCCTCTGCTGAGACCCCAGGGGGGGACCCAGTTTCTCTGCTGCCCCGGGGCTGGGTGCAAGGGGCTGGGTGCTTGAGGAAGTCACGGTCAGGGGGCTCTGTCTGCAGGTGAGGATGTGTCGGCCCCCAGGAGGGAGCCTGGGATGAATAAGAACCAGCTGCCCTCTGCAGGGGGAGCTGAGAACCAGGTATGTGAGCGGAAACGCGGCCAGGGAAGAGCAGACTCGGGGGCAGACACTGGCTGCTCTGAGCTGTCACTCAGACCAGGCTGGTCAGCTGGGTGGAAGCCCCGGGAGGGACTCTGGGAGGGGCCCTGAAGCAGAGGGTTCGAGTCAACACTGCAGTGGCGGAGAGCAGGGGAGAGAGAGCAGACGAGGCCTTCACCAGCTGGTGTGGGACGCTGCAGCCCAGGGGACCCCAGATCCCGGCAGAGGGCACAAACTGGACTGAGTCACCCGTCTCTCCCCGGGCCGAGGTCAGTGAGTGAAAGGTGACAGGAAGGGGCACGGGTGCCAGTAGATTTGGGGCAAAGGTGGGCTTTGGGGCCCAGGATGGGAAGCCAAAGCAGGGACAAGGCAGATCTGGGAACAGGGGTCAGCAGAGAGGTCGGGTGGGAGAACCATAGCCACTCCCACCCTCAGCTCTACAGCAGAGGTGGGTGCAGGGGAGAAGAGGGGAGGGATCCAGCCCATGGGCCTTAATCCATCCCGTGGTCTGGCCCCGCTGCAGGGCAGGGCAGACGCAGTGGCCCCCCTGTGTCTGCCGATGATGTCATCGACACCCACGTGACTCCGACACCCACCCTGGCTTGATAGAGAGGGACCAGGGCACCCTGGGATTCTGGGGAGCAAACAGGGAACAGCGCCCACCCCTGTCCGCTCTGCTGCTGTCCAGCCCTCACTGGCTGGCGCCAAAAAGCCAACAGTGCAGGGGGTTGAGGAGGGTAGGGGTCGCCCTAGCCTCGGCTCAGGAGTGGAGGGGACCCTGGCCTCTCAGCGGCCCATTAGGGTCTCGTGGAGGTTAGGGAACTGGTCAGGTTAGGTAACCACTCGTGGGACGCATCTCAGAGTCCGTGTGTGTGTGTGTGTGTGTGTGTGTGTGTGTGTGTGTGTGTGTGTGTAGGTGGGTGTGGTGCCGGGACTCAAACCCAGGCCCTCGCACATGCAAGCAAGGACCCCACCACTGAACTACCCCCACCACCCCAGCACCCAGGGTCCTTCTGCTCTTTCCAGAGACTGGGGTGGCCACTCTCTCCTGCGAAAGTGTGTTCCAAAAGGCACTGACCATGGTCCCACAAAACCCAGGGGTTCACTCCGTCCCGGAAGAGCTTCTCCTTTTCCAGGGGGTGCAGAGGAAAAACAGCCAGGGAAGCCTTCAGGGGACCCCCCCCGACCCTGCCCCGCCCGTCCACCACAGCCCTGCTCAGACCCCCCCAAAGAGAACCCCCGGCACCCACATAGGAACAGCTTCCAACGCTCTTTTCCGATGGTTTTATTTCAAAACCCTGGGGTATGTTCCCCTCCCATCCCCGCCACCCGCCCCACACCACTACCTGTGCCCTCCCTGGGACGTGACGATGTCTCACACACACGCACACGCGCACACACACGCACACACACGCACCCACGCGCGCGCAGGCAAACACACGCACGCACGGCTGTGAGCTGCGCCCACGCCAGCATGAAAAAATATACATTATATATACTACACCGGGGGGCCCGCCCGCTCCCACCCTCACGAAAGGACCTCGGGGGAGGGTGGCCAGGGGGGGACAGAGGGACAGCCAAGGCAGGGAAGTGGGCGCGAGGCAGGAGCGGGGGTCCCCGGAGTGAAGTGGAAAGAGGGGCAGGGAGGGTCACAGAGAAGCAGGAAGGGGCCACTGGGGGGGGGCAGGAAGAGGCGTGGGTGTGGACAGAGGAAGGTCAGTGCCACGGGGGCCCCCTTCCAGCCCACTCTTGGCCCCTCCCGCCCCTGCTACTGACCCCCCCCCATATAGTGAGTGTGTGGTTAGTGTCTTGCCGGGGTGCTAAGGGGTGACTGCCAAGCAGGGGTGGGGGCCAGAGGCAGAGTCTCGCCCTCCGCCCCTCCCCGGGCTGGGGTGGCTGGAGGCGGGGGGCGGGGGACTGGATCCATCCAGGGGAGCCCCCTGGGGTTCACACGAGACCAAGAACTCCCCAGCTGGTGGCATCCCGGTCTCTCTGCTGGGGTGTCTCTCGTTCCCTCTATGCAGGGAGGGCTGGGGAGGTGAGGGGGGCGGGTTTAGTAACGGTGAGGGGGGGTCTCGATGATGCGTCTCTCGTCGCTGCTGGGGGAGTCAGCGGCCTCCGAGTCACTGCTGTCCTCGTCCTCCTGCTGGGACCCCGCAGCCCGAGCCCCGCAGGCCTGCCGGCCCTGGTAGGACTGAGGCACGGGGAAGGGGCTCAGTCGAACTGTCACCCCACGTCCCCTTGGCTGCTCTCCACTTCCCGACAGCCCAGACCTTCCTCCTTCCCTTCTTCCTCCTTCCTGACCCTCCCCCTGTCTCCCCACCCCACCCCCCACAAGCTCATTCTAGAACCTTCTGCCAGGCCTGGTGGTGTCACCTCCCACCGCCCCCCACTGCCCCCCGGGGTCACGCACCTCCATGGGGTTGACGATAATGGTCAGAGCAGAGTCATCCCAGAAAAGGTCGGGGTCCTTGGGGTCGCTGGCAGCCCCCGGGGGCCCGGCGCTACCCGCCACACGGCGGTGAAGAGAGTGAATCCGCACCAGGCCCAGGACCACCATGAGCACCAGGAAGCCGACGCACACCACGATGATGAGGGTGGCCGCGCTGGGGACCACTGCGGGGGACAGAGACAGCGGTGAGGGGGGGCGGCGGCAGAAGGGCCCCCCGAGGCAGAGAGAGGAGAGGGGCAGACGGGCCTGGTCTCCAGCCCCCAAGTTGGGGGATGGGGGGGTCAGTCCTCAGCCGGAGAAGAGGTCCCAGCCCCAAGTTCTCAGGATGGAGGGTCAGGACGGTCTCTGCCCCATCCCTCTGCCTGCACCTCCCAGGCACCCACAGCCGGGAGGAGGAAGGAGATGCCCGAGCACAGAAGCAAATGCCCGTGGCCCTCAAGTGCCCGGCAGGAAGGAGCTGAGAGACGGAAGCTCTGCTCTGAGGCCTCCAGCCCGTCTTCTCCCTGGGACACGAACCTCGCTTGCTTGTCTCTGTGTTTCTATCTCCACCCCGGGGAAGCCCAAGTTCACTCCCGGCTTTGCACTCAAGAATTACTCCTAGCAGTGTTTGGAGGACCATATGGGATGCCGGGGATCGAACCTGGGTCGGCTGCGTGCAAGGCAAACGCTCTACCCGCTGTGCTATCTCTCTCAAACACGGACTTGCGTCTTTCTCCCTTTTTCTCCCCTCACATCTTTCTGAATACGTCCTAATGCAAACTATCTTGCTTCACCAAAAATTAAAACGCTTGGCATGTAAGGGGCTGGAGAGAGATAGAAGAGCGGGTAGGGAGTTGGCCTTGCACACAGCTGACCTGGGTTCGATCCCTGGCCCTGCCAGGAGTGATCCCTGAGCACCGAGTCAGGAGTCAGCCCTGAGCATCACCAGGTGTGGGCAAAGCTCCCTGCTTCGCCCCCCCCCCCCCCACACACACACACCCAAATCACAAACTTGGCTTTCTGGAGGCCTTCCATTGTTTTGCTTTCCTCCATTTGTTTCATTTTGAGACTGGGAGCTACACTCTTGCAGAAGGTTCCAGAGCTAGTCCTGGCTCTGTGCTGGTGCCGGGGATGGATCCGGGGTCAGCTGAGTGCAAAGCAAGTGCCTTTCGCCCTGTGCTATGTGTCTGCCCCTGCAACCCTGGTTCTGATCCCTGGCACAGAGAAAGAAAGAAAAAAAGAAAGAGAGAGAGAGAGAGAGAGAGAAAGGAAAGAAAGAGAGAGAGAGGGAGGGAGGTAGAGAGAAAGAAAGAAGGAAAGGAAGGAAGGGAGGGAGGGAGGGAGGGAGGGAGGGAAAAAGGAAGGAAGGAAGAAAAGAAAGAAAAGAAAGAAAGAAAGAAAGAAAGAAAGAAAGAAAGAAAGAGGGAAGGAGGAAGGAGGGAGGGAAGGAAGGAAGGAAGGAAGGAAGGAAGGAAGGAAGGAAGGAAGGAAGGAAGGGAAAGAGAAGGAAGGAAGGAAGGAAGGAAGGAAGGGAGGGAGGGAGGGAGGGAGGGAAGGAGGGAGGGAAAAAGAAAGGAAGGAAGGAAGGAAGGAAGGAAGGAAGGAAGGAAGGGAAAGAGAAGGAAGGAAGGAAGGAAGGAAGGAAGGAAGGAAGGAAGGAAGGAAGAAGGGAGGGAGGGAGGGAGGGAGGGAGGGAGGGAGGGAGGGAGGGAGGGAGGGAGGAAGGGAGGAGAGAGAGAGAGAGAAGGGCGTCTGCCTGGCAGTACTGCCCGAAGGAGGTCCTGTGCCCACATAGGAGGAAGTGGGGGGACAGCCCCCCAAGTCAGGGAACCGCCCCCCCACTCACCCCAGGGACTGAGCTCGCTTCTGTTCAGCGACCTCCTCCTCCTCTGGGGCGCGGGGCTCTCGGGGGGCTTCGGGGCTTTCCGCTCTTCCACGCTCTCCCGCTGAGGTGCGCCCACCTGCCCCTGGACCCTGGCGGGCGCCGGGCCGGGCACCCGCACTTTGATGCCCAGGTTGAGGGGCGCGTGCACCCGCAGGGGCAGCGAGACGAGGAAGGGCGCGTGTACCCGCACATGGACCTTGGAGCTGATGGCCGCAAAGCAGACGTGCGCGCACAGGGACAGGCCCAGGAAGAGCGTGTGGACGCCCAGCTGGACCACGGTGGCCACACCCTGCACCCCGGCCAGGCCAGTGCCCGCCCGCGCCCCGGCGCGCACCAGCCACCGCGCCGCCCACTCGCCGCGCTCCAGCACCCAGAGGCGGGTCAGGCTGTCCAGCAGGAAGCAAGAGAGCCGGACGGGCGCCAGCACCCCTCCCCGGGCCAGCTGCGCCCCGCAGGCCGCCGCCTGCAGGACCCCGTAGACCCCGTAGACCCAGGCGCAGTGCGCCGCCCACTGCACCACCCGGCCCAGCATCCTGGCGCCCAGCAAGAACGCACGGACTGGCAGCAGCAGAAGGAAGAGCAGGGCCCAGAGCCACAGGGTCAGCAGGTGCCCGCAGGAGGCCCCCAGGCGCAGCCCCAGGTTCAGCGCCCGCGCGGGCAGCTGAGCCACAGCACCCAACATGAGGGCACCAGGTTCAGCCAAGTGTGCGCGCGTGCGTGTTTGTGCGTGCGTGTGTGCGCGTGCGTGCGTGTGTTTGTGTGCGCGAGTGTATGTCTGCCCACAGTGGCTCACACTCCTGTACCCTTCCCTCCCAATCTCTCTCTCCTTTTCCCTCCCAATCTCTGTCTCCCTCTCTCCCACCCTCCTTCCCTCTCCTCTCTCTCTTCTTCTCTCTCCCAATCTCTGTATTCTTCTCTCTCTCCCTCTCTCCCTCCCTCTCCTCTCTTCCTCCCTCTCCTGTCTCTCTCTCTCCTTCTCTCTCCCTTCCTCTCCCCCCTCCTTCACTGTCCCTGTCTCCCTCCCTCTCTCTCCCCCTCCTTCTCTCTCTCCCTCTTCCCTCCCTCTCTCTCCCTCCTCTCCCTCCCTCCTTCTCTCTCCCTCCCTCCCTCTCTCTCTCTCCCCCTCCTTGTCTCTCCCTCCCTTTCTCTCCCCTTTCCCCCACACCTACCTAGGTCTCCCAGCCCCCAAATTTATCCACAGCCTCTAAAACTCACATGTCCGAGCAGAGCGGAGACACCCAGCTAAGCGCACCCCCAAAGCACAGGCGTGACCCCAGGCCCCCAGCAGCGCGGCAAGCACCCTGCCACCACCCGCCCAGGTGCGGGGAGAGTGCCGGCCCGATGGGCAGGCTTCCGGCCACACACCTCCGGGGCCGCCCTCGTGGCTTTCTCCCAAGTGGGTCCCCAGCGTGACCCGACCCATAGCCCACTTGGGGCCACTCCTCAGTGGACACCGCACGGCTGTTGCTCAAGGGCCTGGGGCCAGAGGCAGGAGGCGGGCAGGCCGGAACAAGGCTGCCTTTCTGCCCATCTGCAGGAAGCAGTCCCTTCCTGCTGCGTGCCAGTGGCCAAGACCTAGGTGCCACTGCCCCCCAGAAGACAGCCCTGGGAGCGCACAGAGCCCAGCGGGGAGTGGACTTGCTCTAGGGTCAATGCCAAGTCAAAACTGCCTCAGATGCATGGAACCTCTGGGGTCCAGAATCAGTGACCCCCCAACCCAGAGCATACCCCAGCAGACATACGGGAGTGGCCCCTGGGTCCTGGGGGAGCCAGGAGGCCCCGGAGCGGGGGTGGCAGATTCAGATTGAGCCGCTGCCCCAAATCAAATTGTCTGAAGACATTGTGACACACTTGATCTGAGTCATTTGATCTAATTCATTAACAGGCCTCCAAGGACTTCACAGGGCAAGGGGAAGGGACAGCAGTTTGTGCTCCGGGGGTCAGGAGAGCCTGGAACGGCCTTGGAATTCTAAGGCCCAGGCTGACCACCCCAGTCTCTGACCAGAAGCCTCCAGAGAAGCTACTCTAAGCCCTCAAGCCCTCTCTGGCACACTGGGCGCCCCTGCACAGACTCGCCTGAGGAACCGGCAGATCGGGCTGTGAGCGAGTTCTGGGTCTCACCCTAGCCGAATCGCTGCGTCACCTTTTTTTTTTTTTTTTTTTTTTTTTTGCTTTTTGGATCACACCCAGTGATGTTCAGGGGTTACTCCTGTACTCCTGGCTTTGGCTTTGCTCCTGGCAGTGCTCAAGGGACCACATGGGATGCTGGGGATTGAACCCAGGTTGACGCCTTCCCCGCTGTGCTACTGCTCCGGCCCCCTGTGAGCTGATCTTGTACCCTCCTTCCCCCTGCTGCCAACATTCTTGTCCTCTCTCCTCCCTGTTCTGGTTTTTATGTTTGTTTTTTTGTTTTGGGTGGGTGACAGCCAGCGATATACAGGGGTTACTCCTGGCTCTGCACTCAGGAACTACTCCTGGCGGAGCTCGGGGGACCATATGGAATGCCAGAAATCGAACCCTGGTCGGCCACATGCAAGGGCAAATGCCCTTCCCACTGTGCTATTGCTCCAGCCCAAGCCACGACCACTCACACACACACATACACACACACACACATACACACACACACACACCTATGGCAAAAGACGTCTGCACACTCTTTCAACCGCGATCATTGAGGGGTGCTCTAGACCCATTCCTAAGCCCCACTTCCACTCGATTGTTCAAAGTCCCTCACACAAAGCACTCTTCCTTTTGGTGGTGGCGGTAGTGGTGGGGTGGTGCTGGGTCATGCCCTGCGGTGCTCAGGGACTGTTCCTGGCTCTGTGCTCCAGGATCACTTGTCAGTGCTCAGGGGACCCTATGCAGTGTTGGGGTTGGAACTGGGATGGGTTGTGTGCCGGGCAAGCGCCCTACCCACTGGACTATCTCTCCAGCCCCTTTGGACTTTCAAAGGTCTCTGCCACTGCTCTTGGAGAGAGTTGGGCGGAGGGGAGCTGGTCCCGGGGTTCAGGAGACAAGAGCAGTGGAATACTATGGAAGAGAAGGGGCACAGACTGAACCCCAGCAGCTCAGGGGAGCCAGCCTCAGTCCGAGGGACCCACGTCACTCTAAAGCACGGAAGAGTCTGGAATCCTGCTGCCAGAATTCGACACTTTCTAGCTGTGTGTTCTTGGACGAAGCACTCAACCTCTCTGGGCCTCTATTTCCTCGCTGTTGGAGGGGACTATTCTAGCATCGGTCACTGTTTGTTGGTAATGACGAGTGGAAATTGCCGTCTGTCTGCATTGTCAGGTTAGGACTCACAGAGCAGGAACTCCCGGGCTCTTGTTTTGTTTTGTTTTAGTTTTGTTTGTTTTGTTTTGTTTTTTGGGGCACACCTGGCAGTGCTCAGTGGTTACTCCTGGCTCTACGCACAGGAATCCCTCTTGGCAGTGCTCAGGGAACATACAGGATTCCGGGGACAAAACCCAGGTCCGTGGTGTGCAAGGCAAGTTGTACTCTACTGGCTGTCCTAGCTCTCCGGCCCCTAGGGATGCCTTCTTCTGGGATCCCATGGGAATTACCTTTCTAGTCTATGAGACATCTTCTGAGGTTTGCCAAAAGGTGCCACTGGGCTGGAGCGATAGCACAGCGGGTAGGGCAGTTGCCCTGCACACCGGTAACCAGGGTTCGATCTCCGGCATCCCATATGGTCCCCCAGCACCGGCAGAAGTAATTCCTGAGTGCAGAGCTAGGAATAAGCCCTGAGCATCACTGGCTGTGACCCAAAGGAATTCCTGAGTGCAGAGCCAGGAATAACCCCTGAGCATTGCTGGGTATGACCCAAAAAGGAAAAAAAAATAATAAGGTGTCAGTCTGTGCCTTTTGAGGGTGGGAGGGAGGATGATACTTTGGGGTTGGGTGGGAAGAGGCTGAGAGCGTGACTTAAACACAGACAGTCCCATAAACGAAGAGCATCTCAGTTTAGTCAACAAGACCTTACGCAAAGACGCAAAGTCAACTCTGACAAGTGGAGATAGACACTGGGCAATGCCGAACTAGGCCAAAAGCAAGCCACAGCCAACGGGTAAACAAATAAATGCTTTGGGGGGGCTGGAAAGGCAGGACAACGGGGAGGGCGCCTGCCTTGCAAGCAGCTGTGGCGTGAGATCCCCAGCGCCACATAGGGATCCCTGAGTGGGCCCTGAGCGTGGAGCCCAGAGCAAGCCCCAAGCACTGTAAGCCAGGTATGGCTCCGAAACAAAAACAAAAAAGGCACTTCCCAACTGGAAAAGGGCCAGAACCAGGACATGAGACGCCTCTAAAGGTCAGTGGGAGGAGAGAAGTTTCCTTCTGAAACAGTCTTACGGCTTACAGACTTGCACAGCCACATGGGCTGGTGTCTGCCCTGTGATCCCTCCTGATCGTGCTTTAGGAGTGCTGGTACACAGTAGGTGCTTAGTAAACACTTGCTGCAGGCGAGGCCTGGCTGCAGGGCCCATTTGCGATTGTTGGGCAAGGGCAGCAGGGACACTAGGGACATACACACCCGCACACATGCATTCACGCAGGCACATACATGCATGCACACACGTGCACACACCCACACATGCACATATACCTGCATACACATGCACACATGCACACATGCATGCACACACGCTCACACACACGCATACACACGCACACTTATGCACACAGGCATGCACGCAGGCATGCACACACATGCACGCACACCCACCTGCATACACCCGCATACACATGCAAGCACACACGTGTACACACACATGCATGCATACACTCGCATGCGTGCGCACACACGTACACACATGCACGCACACACACCCACACACATGCATTCACACAGGCACACACATGAATGCACACATGTGCATAAACCCACACATGCACACACATCCGCATACACATGCACACAGGCACACATACACACGCACACTTAAACACACAGGCATGCACACAGGCATGCACACCCACCTGCACACACCCGCATACACATGCGCACACACACATGCATGCACACACACCTGCACACATGCATTCACACAGGCACACGTGTGCACACACCCACACATGCACACACACACGCGTACACATGCACACGCATGCACACATGCTCACACATGCATGCATGCACACACACATGTACACACATGCATGCACACAGGTACACATGAATGGACACACGTGCATACACCCACACATGCACACACACCTGCATACACATGCACACACGCTCACACACATGCATGCACACACATGCATACATGCACACCCGCACACACGCACACATGTACGCACACATGCATGCACACACCTGCACACATGCATTCACACAGGCACACATGTGCACACACCCACACATGCACACACACCCGCGTACACATGCATACATGCATGCACACACGCTCACATACGCATGCACACACATGCATACACACATGCATGCATGCACACCCACCCGCACCCACCCACATACACATGCACACACGCACACATGTACACACACATGCATGCACACACATCTGCACACATGCATTCACACAGGCACACGTGTGCACATGCACACACCCCCGCATACACAGGCACACATGCACACACAAGCACACAGACACCCGAACACACATGCATACAGGCACACGGGCACACACAAGCACACACACGCACACCCGCATACACATGCACACACAAGCACACACACACAAGCACACGCACACAAGCACACGCACACAAGCACATGCACACACACTAGTGGCCCCCAGGGTGACCCCTGGCTCTGGTCCTTAACGAAGTGGAAGAAGAACGATTCAGGAAGGCAAAGAAGCCGGGTACCCGCAGGAGCAGGTCACCCCACTGGAGGAGGAAGAGGACGACGCCGGCGCCCAGCCCACCCCCACCGCGTTCCTCCCGCCCACTGCCCCGTCCAGCCCCACGTACTGGAGTTCCGGTGCGAGCTGGCCAGGCTGTGTCCGGCCATCTCCGGGGGCGGCTGGTGGCCGCGGTGCAGGAACTGCTGGGAGTTGAGCACGTGGCTGGGGTGCGCGACGCGGTTCACGCTGTGCAGCACGTTGACCTGCGCAGAGAGGCCACAGGTTGCCCCCGCGCCCCGGTCCCGCGCCCGGCCGCGCCCACCCACCCCGGCGCCTCCGCACCTCCACCAGGAACTCGTTGCTGGAGTAGCGCCCGTTCATCTCCGAGCAGGACAGACGCAGCTTCCGCGCGTACAGGGCGGCCCCGGGCCGCAGCCGGTAGCGCACCTGGCGCAGGATCTCCTCGTACACCGTGATGCTCTCCACGCCTGCGGGCGGGCCGGGACAGCGGGTGGGCCAGGGACCCCCTCCTGGGTGCCCCCAGCCCAACCCCGCACCCGCAGGCAGAAAGCCCCCGGGCGGGAGCCCAGATCGGCCCCTCCGCCCACCCTGATTCTCAGGTGTGCCCTTAACGGGTCCCTGAGGGAACAGACTTTCTTTTCCTCTCCTTGGTGCTTTGGGGCTACACCTGGTGGTGCTCAGGGCTTACTCCTGGCTCTGCGTTCAGGGATCACTCCTGGCAGTGCTCAGGGAGCCTCTGGGGATGCTGGGATGGAACCTGAGTCACCCACGTGCCGGCAAGCGCTGTATATTTCTCCCGCCTGCAAGCTGGCTTTTTTTTCCTTCTTTGGGGTCATACCCCGCAATGCTCAGGGCTTTACTCCTGGCTCTGCACTCAGGAATTACTCCTGGCAGTGCTCAGAGGACCCTATGGGATGCTGGGAATCGAACCCAGGTCAGCCACGTGCAAGGCAAACGCCCTACCCGCCGGATCTGCCTGCTGTTCTCAACAATGAGCACTTAAAAAAGCGCCACTCAATTAGGGAGGTGGAGGAGGTGACGAGTCTGGCGGCAGGGCTGAGCAGGAGCAGAGGTCACTGGGGCCCTGAAGCTCTTCCTGAGGCCACCAGCCCGTTTCCCTGCAGGAGGCCCCGGGTTGGCCACCTTGGGACCCCTGGGGCCCCAACTGCATCTCCCAGCTGGGGGTGTCTGCTGACCGGAAATGGTGAGGTAAGCCGAGGTGTTGGTAAGCTCCAGCCCCCGCTGCTGCCAGGATGCGGCATCCAGGAGAAGACCCTCCCACTCGGGGTCCAGGTCATCCCCCACCAGGGAGATCTCACAGCCGTCCAGGTTGTGCACAATCTCGTCTGACATGCGGGTGTCCGTCACTAGGCAGGGAAGGGGAGAGCCGGGTCAGGCAGCCATGCCCCTTGGCCACCCCTCCCCCTCCCCCTTTCCCACCCCCCCCCACACACATCACCTCGGGGCCCACTGGCCTCCTGCTGCCTCTGATGTCCTGGACACTGAGGGTCCAGTGGCACCAGAGCAGAAGGAGGAAGTGGCTCTCGACCCCCCATGTCCCCCAACACCCCTTCTCCAGACCCCTAGCTCTCGCCCCCTCCTCACCTGTGCCCTGCCAACTCTCGTCCTTTTTGGCCTCCACCTGGTGAGAAATGGAGCACGTGATCTGAAGATCGGGGTACAAGGGGACCCCCTCGGGTGCCTCAAAGTCCGCAGCGGGGCGGGCAAAGTGTGCCGTGCCACTCAGCAGGATCTGGGGGGCGTCCGGCTGAAGGACCACCACGTAGCCCTCCACCTCGGGGATGGAGACACAGGACTCTTCGCTGAAACACCTGGCGGGGGGAATAGGAGGCAGCTAGTGACCCCAACAACCCCATTCCTCTAGATCACGCTTCATCTCCCTGGGCCTCTACCTGGACACTAATTCCCCCCACCCCCAGCGTCAGGCAAGATGAAGGAAGGGTGAGGGGGGGAAGAGACCATCTCTCAGCACCGGCCCCCAGGAGAAAGCTGGAGGGAGCCCCCTTTCCAGGGAGGGAGGTCGGAAGAGAAGTCCAGGGGGGAAGGCCCTTGCCTTGCACACAGACGACCCAGGTTCAATCCGGGTTATGGTCCCCTGAGCCCTGCCAGGAGTGATCCCTGAACACAGAGCCAGAAGTAAGCCCTGAGCACACCCAAGGGTGACCCAAAACATGAAGAGAATGGGGTGGGGGGAGGGAAAGGAAAGAAAAGAAAAGAAAAGAAAAAAGTTATCAGTTATCAGTGCTCAGCCTGAGCATCCATTAAACAGCATTTACTCAGATCTGTATACACACACCGGAAGCTCTGTTTGTAATTTGTTCAGTAAACTATCTGGGGTAAGCACGCTAAGGAAAACGTCCAGTACTGTGGGTGGACATGAGCCCAGTGTCCGTGTCCCGTCCTCCCTGAGTTCCTTTCCAGGTTAGAGGCGCACATTGGGGGCTGGAGCGATAGCACAGTGGGGAGGGCGTTTGCCTTGCATGCGACCGAGCTGGGTTCAATTCCCAGCATCCCATAGGGTCCCCTGAGCACCGCCAGGAGTAATTCCTGAGTGCAGAGCCAGGAGTAACCACCCTGTGCATTGCCAGGTGTGACCCAAAAAGCAAAAAAAAGAGAGAGAGAGAGACGCTCATCGGCAGGACACGCTTTTGTCATCAGAACATCATGAGCTACTCTCCATGCCCAGGAGCCCAGCTGACCTTAGTGCCAGCGCCAGCTGTCACTGGAGAACTCAGCCGAGCCAGGGTGGAGTCACCGGGTGCCAAGCCAGACACAGCTGACACCACCCTCCACCCATCCACTAAACTATCTGGGCTTTTGGTGTGCGAAATGTTTTGCCCTGTGTTGTTTTATATATGTGTGTGTGTGTTGCCCTGTGTTGTTATATATATGTTTGTGTGTGTGTGTGTGTGTGTGTGTGTGCGTGTGTGTGTATACATACATATCACGGTCCTCCCATTGTTCATCGATTTGTTCGAGCGGGCCCAGTAATGTCTTCATCATGAGACTTGTTGTTACTGTGTTTGGCATATCGAATACATCACGGGTAGCTTGCCAGGCTCTGCCGTGTGGGCGAGATACTCTCGGTAGCTTGCCAGGCTCTCCGAGAGGGGCGGAGGAATCGAACTCGGGTCGGCCATGTTGGCTGCGTGCAAGGCAAACGCCCTACCACTGTGCTATCGCCCCGACCCATACATACATATATATATATGAATAAAAGAGGAAGCCGTGAACCATCAGAATTGCTACTGATTCCATACAAATGCCATCTGAGGGTACTGCCATTAGCAACTGTAACACTGTTCTCCCGTTTTTCATCGATTTGCTCGAGCTGGCACCAGTAATGTCTCCATTGTGTGTTTTGGCATATTGAATACGCCACAGGGAGCTTGCCAGGCTCTGCCATACGGGCGGGATATTCTCAGTAGCTTGCCGGACTCTCTGAGAGAAACGAAGGAATCGAACCCGGGTCGGCCGCTTGCAAGGCAAACGCCCTACCCGCTGTGCTATTGCTCCAGCCCCAACAGGGATAACCCGGCAAAAATAACCTCAAAGAACTCAAATGCAAAGGGCCCAGAGCAGGTCAGGCTTTTGCCTTGTACACATCTGGCCTGGGTTCGATCCCCAACACTCAAGTTCGCTAGGAGTGATCCCTGAGCATAGAGTCAGGAGAAAACCCTGAGCCTGGCCGGGTGTGTGTGGGGGAGGGGGCGGGGGGGGAACACTTTGAAGCATATTCCTATTCGGCAGTTCCAAAGGTAGAATTAGAAACATACCACCCATGTTCAACGCCAGACGTGATTTTGACTGATTCATACCAGAGGAATGAAACACTACTGTATTTTCCCAGGCAGAGCCAGGATTATCGATACGCCAGAGCTACATATTGGGGGCGTTATTCAACAATGGAAAACCCTAGAATAGGAATTCCTTAGGAAAACTGCACACGGCCGACCCAGCTTCGATTCCTCCGCCCCTCTCAGAGGGCCTGGCAAGCTACTGAGAGTACCCCGCCCACACGGCAGAGCCTGGCAAGCTCCCCGTGGCATATTCAATATGCCAAAAACAGTAACAACAATTCTCACAATGGAGACGTTACTGGTCCCGCTCGAGCAAATCGATGAACAATGGGAGGACAATGGGTGTGGTTTGCAACCAGGACAACGATTTCTTAAAAAGCACTTCCGGGGGACTGGAGCAATAGCACAGTTTGTCCTGCATGCGTCCAACCCAGGTTTGATCCCTAGCATCCCCTAGGGTCCCCCGAGCACCACCAGGAGTAATTCCTGAGTGCAGAGCCAGGAGTAATCCCTGAGCATCGCCGGGTGTGACCCAAAAAGGAAAAAAAAAAAAAAGAAGCACCTCTGGGAACCAGTGTCTTCACAAAGGACTCAGTCATCCCAAAGTCGCAAATAGGATTCAGGGAACATGACATGTGCTGATAGAAGGTCCTCTGGGAAGGACCGGGGGAGGGGGGGTGCTCCTGAACACGCATGGTACGTGATTGCCAGCTGGAGCCCCGAGGGAGGCGATGAGACCCCAAAGATGACCCCCACGTAACTGACACCAAGACTTGCCGTGTCCCTGAATCCTAAGGCGCTCAGCTCCAACCATCTCTGGGGAAACACTCCCACATAGCATCAGGGGGGGCCACAAAGTGGGGAACACAAGGGAAGTGGGGATAGGGAGGGCTACCTCGGCCCAACCCAAAAGCAATGGTCTAGAGAGATCAGACACACGCACAAAGCAAGGACAAAGCGCACAAACCAAGGATGGGGACAGGGCATCCGCAAGGGACAGCAGAGCCTCTGAGTTCGTCTTTTTTTTTTCTTTTTGGGTCACAGCCGGCGATGCACAAGGGTTCCTCCTGGCTCTGCACTCAGGAATTACTCCTAGCGGTGCTCGGGAGACCATATAGGATGCTGGGAATCGAACCCGAGTTAGCCACGTGCAAGGCAAACGCCCTACCACTGTGCTATCACTCCAACCCCAGCTGAGAGCTCATCATGGCATGCCATGGAGCCTTGCTGCCTGTCCTAGCGTGGACACACACCCAGTGCAGCAGAGGGACACAAGGCAGAAAAGGCAAGCGGGGGCCCCAGCAGAGGGCTTTTGGAGATAGTTTTGCGCACACAGCAGGTAGAAAGAAACCACGGACACTGTCATTGTTGGGGTGTAGGTAACAATTCAGACTAGAGATCACTCACTGAGCCTTAGGGTGACCCAAGAACTGAAGTGAGAGCGCTGTGGAGTGGTCAGTGGGCTGGGAGGCCATGCCGGTGGCCAGATAAGAGGTAACAATAAGATAAGGGGTTCAGGGGTGGGGTAGGATGACCAGGATAGGACAGTGGAGAGGGTGCTGGCTTTGCTCATGATCAACATGGGTTTGATCACCGGACCTGTAGAGGGTAGTGCAAGCCCCACCAGGAGTGACCCCTGAATACATGTAGCTCCAGGAAGAATCCCTGAGCATTGCTAGATATGTTTCCCCCACACACATACTAAAAAACAAAAAGAGATCTAGAGGGCCGAAGCAACAGTACAGCAGGGAGGGAGTTTGCCTTGCACGCAGCCGACCCGGGTTCAAGCCCCTGCATCCCATAGGGTCCCCTGAGCACCACCAGGAGTGATTCCTGAGTGCAGAGCCAGGTGTGACCCAAAACAACAACCAACCAAAGATCTGGGGTTGAATGGTAGCAGTAGATTGGGAGGGAGGAGAAGGACAGAGAGACGCTAGACATTGGCATAGAAGCAGGACAAGGCAGCCTGGCCTCTGGTGGGGGATGGGGTGGGGGGAGGAGGGCTGACTCTGAGGTCTGGAGCCTGCGTGAGTGCAAGGACAGGAAGACCGTTGCAGAAATGGAACGCGCAGGGGCCAGAGCAGGGCATCTGCCTTGCATGCGGCCAACCCAGGTTCGATCCCCAGCATCTCAGAGGGTCCCCCTGAGCACCACCAGGAGTAATTCCTGAGTGCAGAGCCAGGAGGAACCCCCAGGCACTTCTGAGTGTCCCCCACAATCACCAAAAAAAAGTAAAGAAATAATGCAGGTGGGCTGGAGCGATAGCACAGCGGGTAGGGTATTTGCCTTGCACGTGGCCGATCTGGGTTCGAGTTCCAACATCACATATGGTTCCCCAGGAGTAATTCCTGAGTGCATGAGCCAGGAGTAAGCCCTGTGCATCGCGGCTCTGACCCAAAAAGCAATAAATAAATAAATAATGCAGGGGCTGGAGAGATAGCACAGCGGGTAGGGCGTTTGCCTTGCATGCGGCCAACCCGGGTTCGATTCCCAGCATCCCATCGGGTCCCCTGAGCAGCGCCAGGAGTGACTCCTGAGTGCAGAGCCAGGAGTAACCCCTGTGCATTGCCAGGTGTGACCAAAAAAGCAAAAAAATAATAATAAAAATAACGCAGGGGGAAGGGAAGAGGTGCTCAATATTTCAGCTTTTGATCACTGACCAGAGATGCAGGAGACCCTCTGGATGAAGTTCGCACAAGCAAGTGGGTACAGAAAAGCTGTGGAAATAGGACAACTTGCGGGGGTTGAGGGGGACGTGGGAATCATCTGTCTGGGATCAGCACGAGGAGTTCACTGACTCCCTAAGGAAGAGGTTAGAAACTAAGACAAAACCATAAGGGCCGTGCTTGCCATGAACGCAGCTGGCCCCGGTTCAGTCCACATACGGTTCCCACTGAGCACTGTCAGAAGTGAGCCCTGAGCACAGACCGAGGAGTAGCTCCTGGGCATCACTAGGTGTGGCCAAAAACAGAGGGAAAAATCAAAACACCTTCCAGGAACATGTAGCACTGTAGCACTGTCGTCACGTTGTTCATCGATTTGCTCGAGCGGGCACCAGTAACGTCTCCATTGTCAGATTTGTTGTTACTGGTTTTGGCATATCGAATACGTCACGGGCAGCTTGCCAGGCTCTGCCATGCAGGCGGGATACTCTCGGTAGCTTGCCGGGCTCTCCGAGAGGGATGGAGGAATCGAACCTGGGTCAGCCGCGTGCAAGGCAAATGCCCTACCCACTGTGCTATCACTCTGGGAACATGTATTGAACAGAAAAGCAGCAGAACTCCAGCTTCAATGAACAGAGACCCAAACAAACACAGATTGGGGGGTGGGGGGTGGGATGGGATCAAAGAATCAGCAAGGACTGAGGTAAGAACCTATATCCGAAGGGCCAGAGCAGTAGCACAGTAGGTAGGAAGCTTGCCTTGCACGCGATGGGCCTGGGTTTGATCCCCGGCACCCCATTAGGTCTCCCGCGCCTGGCAGGAGTAATCCCTGAGCACTTCTCAGTGTAGCCCAAACACAAAGTGTTTTCTGGGAAAGGAAAGCGGACTGAGATGTCTCTACACACTCCATCTTCTCCCACAACGCTGCAGTAACCACACGTGCATGCCCTACAAATGCAAAACTAAGCACGCTCGCTTTTTTTTTTTTTTTTGCTCTTTGGGTCACACCCGGCAATGCTCAGGGGTTCCTCCTGGCTTTGCACTCAGAAATCACTCCTGGCGGTGCTCCGGGGACCCTGTGGGATGCTGGGAATCAAACCCGGGTCGGCCGCGTGCAAGGCAAATGCCCTCCCTGCTGTGCTATTGCTCCAGCCCGCATGCTCGCTTTCTTACCCTCCTAAAGAACATACAAGATCGCTTTCCCCCAGAAGGCCCAACCTCGTTTCCCTAAACATAGGAGGAATTTACCGCAAGGACACAGCCCCGTCGGGGTGCTGAGCATGCTGAAAGGGGTGGGAGTCCTTGCTCTCTGCAGGATTAAGCCTTCCCGAAGCGCAGGACCTTCTAAGGACTAGATCTGGGGATGGGGCGGGTTGGCACGCGCCGCTCTACGTGCCTGGACTGCATCTAATTTTGACCTTCAGCGCCACCTCCTGGCCACATCGGGAAACAGCAGGCCAGGTCCCAATAAACCTTGCCGGGTCTTACAGGGTCCCTCCCTGGTCATCAAGACCACTTATTTGTTGGGGACTCAGAACCCCTTCTAAACACTCCCCTCTGGGGCTAGAGTGATAGCACAGCGGGTAGGGCGTTTGCCTTGCACGCGGCCGACCCGGGTTCGATTCCCAACATCCCATATGGTCCCCTGAGCACTGCCAGGGGTAATTTCTGAGTGCAGAGCCAGGAGTAACACCCGAGCATCGCGGAATTAAACACTCCCCTCCAATAACGGGGACAAATCCGGGATGCTTCTCGTACTAGAGTTCATGGAGAAAGCGGGGCAGGCAGGGCAGGAGAGGAGAGGCTTAGTTGGAAATCCTCGTTGCCGTGGAACGCGATGCCCGCTAGGTGGCAGTCTCTCCTCCAAACTGACCCATAAACCGTTCCGGGGCGTGAAAATGCCTTCAAAGGAACAGCCAACGTTGGCAAGCAAACACATTTGATCTGGATCCCGGATTACATCATTTAGCTCCTATGATAATTCCATGATTTTAGCTTCTATTGTTCTCCCAGCCTGACTGGCCTTTGCTCGGTGCTTAAAAAAAAAAAAAGCTAGTAGCCAACTGCATTCGTAACTCCTATGCTCCCGTTATTTCTCAGTTATCCTATGTATTTAAACACCCGAGGCATTTAAACCTTGAAGTAATGCCACTTTAAAAAAAAAATAAAGAAAGCATTCAAAATAACTCATTTAGAATTCACGGGTCAGCCAACTTTTTCTGGGACGAGCCAGATGGATTTTCATCTTTCGGGGCTGTACCATCTGTGTTCCAACCATCCAGGCCTGCCACCACAGTGGAACAAAAGCCATCACCATATGCCAATAAACAGGGGTGGCTGCTGTGTTCTAATAAAACTTTATTTATAAAAGCAGGCAGCCGTTTTGGGCGTACCCAGAGACGGGCCATCAGAGCTCACGAAACCTACACTAAAATTAGCGGAAGAACAAGCTCTTTGCCCAAGGTCATCCAGCCAATTAGTCATGAGTCAAAATTTCTGTCAGGTATGCTAACACTGGGTCAGGGGGCTAGTGCAGGGGGCCTCGCTATGCAGCCAACCACAACTCACTTCTCAGAACTGCATATGGTCCCCCAAGAGCCACCAGGGGTCACTGCTGAGCACTGGGCCAAGAATAGTCTCTGAGGGCTAGAGAGTACAGACAGGAGGGTCTTTTCCTTGCCCGTAGCCCACCCACATTCCATCCCCGTCATCTCCTAAGGAGTTCCACTAGGAGTGATTCCTGAGTGCAGAGCCAGGAGTGAGCCCTGAGCACTTCCAGGTGTAACCAAAAAACACAAAACAAGAAAAAGAAAAGAAATTGAAAAGAATCCCTGAGCACTGACAACCTGGGAAAAAAAAAAAAACAATGAAAATAAGACAAAACCCCTAACTCCTAGAAGTGCAACTTAGAAGAGTGAGGGATGAATTCTTGTTGGGCCCATTCTACAGACACTGTCACTTGGGGTGGGCCAAGTGGCACTGCCAGGGCCTGACCCTTTTGTCACAAGGAAGGATGCGTGCAGAGCCTGATCCCGGGGGAGGGAGGGGGGACTATGAAGTCCTTTTTATTTATTTTTAATTTTTTTTCTTTTTGGGTCACACCCGGCTTTGCACAGGGGTTCCTCCTGGCTCTGCACTCAGGAATTACTCTGGTAGTGCTCGGGGGACCTTATGAGATGCTGGGAATCGAACCCGGGTCGGCCGTGTGCAAGGCAAACGCCCTCCCCGCTGTGCTATCGCTCCAGCCCCGGAACCACGAAGTTCTGGCCATGAAGTTGTGACTCCACCTGACTCTGCTCTGTGATTTGCCTGCCTCCCCCCACCACACACACACACACACACGCACGCACGCACACGCACATGCACACACTCACTTGACGGCTGTGGTGAGGCGCAGGGGCCTGACGCCAGGCGTGGCAAAGCGCAGAGTGTTCATGTAAGCGACATGCTGTAGGGCATGGTTGAAGGTCTCCACATCATCCCCCTCCAAGGTGAGCAGGGACTGCGAGGGGTTCACGTGGACCTGGGCCCCGGACACAGACACGGCTGAGAGCAGGACCAGGAGGCCGGGCAGGAAGGGAGCAAGGGTTGGGGGGTGGGGGGACAGGGACGGGGTGGGGGCATGCCCGGGAGGGAGGGCGGGCGGGGAGGAAGGGGCGATACCTTCATGCCTTTGCCCAGACTCTCGAAATCCCTATAGTCCAGCCCCTCCCGGCATGCATAGAGGCACTCGATGACCTCGCGGCTCTCCAGGCGGCCCGAGCGCACGCTGAAACCGGCCAGGTAGCCGTGGAAGTAGTGGTGGATCGGCAAGGGCTCTCCTAGGGCAGGAACACAGGAGCAGACTGGAGGTGAGAGCCAGGAGTCGAGGGGGAGGAGCTGAGAGGAGGGGAAAAGAGAGGAAGGAAGAGCAGGGGGGGGGAAGGGGGGAGGAGGAGGAGAAGGAGGAGGAGGGGGAGGAGGAGGAGGAGGGGGAGGGGAAGGAGGAGGAGGAGGAGGAGGGGGAGGAGGAGGGGGGAGGAGGAGGGGGGAGGAGGGGGGGAGGAGGAGGAGGAGGAGGGGGGAGGAGGAGGGGGGAGGAGGGGGGGAGGAGGAGGAGGAGGAGGGGGGAGGAGGAGGAGGAGGTGAAAGAGAAAAGGGGGAAGGAGAAGGAGGAGAAGGAAAAGGGGGAGGAGGTGTGGGGAGGAGGGGGAAGAGGGGGAGGGGGAGGGGAGGAGGAGAAGAAAAAGGAGAAGGAAGAGGAGAAGAAGAAGGGGAAGGAGGTGTGGGGGAGAGGGGGAGAAGGGAGAGGCGAGAAGGAGGAGGAGGGGTTGAGGAGGAGGAGGAGAAGAAAAAGAAGGAGAAGGAGGAAGAGGAGAGAGGGAAGAGTTGTGGGGAGGATGGAGAGGAGGGGAGAGGAGGAAGGGGAGGGGAGAAGGAAGAGGAGAAGAAGAAGGAGGAAGAGGAGGAGGAGGAGAAAGTCAAGGGGAAGGAGGGGGAGAAGGAGGGGGAGGAGGTGTTGGGAGGAGGGAGAGGAGGGGAGGGGAGGAGGAGGTGGAGAAGAAAAAGGAGAAGGAGGAGGAGGAGGAAAAGAAGAAGGAGGAGAAAGCCAAGGGGAAGGAGGACGCAGAGGAGGAGGAGGAGGAGGAGGAGGCGGAGGAGGAGGAGGCGGAGGAGGAAGGGGAGGAGGAGAGATTAGAGCCAGAAGAGCAGAGCGAGGGAGAGAGAAGAGAGAACCCAACCCTGGGATGAATCAGGCGTCATCGCAGAGATGAGAAACGCTCCACTTCCGGGGGAGGGAAGGGAGGGAAGCGAGGGGCGGAAGTGGGGCGGGGAGACACAGGAGGAGGAGGAGGGGGCGGGGGTCTTCGGGGCATGCGAGGAACCGGGTGGATGTGTGCTCCCTTCTCAGAGGCCCGATGTGGCGGCTGTGTGGCGGCTCCCGCCTCGTGCGTCCGGGATGCGAGAGTCAGCAGGGGCGTTGGTTGGCCTCGCTGGGTGGCCGGAGAGGCCCCAGGAGCCAGGGACGGGGCTCTGCCCTCTCCGAGGAAACCTGGCAGCCCTCGGAACCCCGGGGCCAAGCGTCCAGCACCCAGGCGGTCGCCCGGGGCGGAAGCAGAGAGAAGTCTGGCCTGGCTCTTCACCCAGTACCTTGAGAGGCTTCGGTGCTGTTGTCTCCTCCCTTCTCCTTCTCTTTGTTCTTCTCATCTGCAGGGAGGAAAGAGCAGCGGTGAGCGCAGGGTCGTGGGGGACAGACAGACTGACAGAGGAAGCAGAGGGGTCCCCACTCTACCCCAGAGGGAACCTCGCGGGGCCTGGGCTGAGTCCCACTGTCCACTGAGACAGTCACAGCTCATTCCCTTAGGCCTCCGTCATCAACAAACAGGCAAATATGGTGGTGGAGGAAACACAAGGTGGTGGTCTCACACACATACACACACACGCACGCACACACATGCACACACACACATATACACACATACATACACATGCACACATACGCACACATATATACATATACACACATACACACACATAAACACATACACACATACATGCACATACACACATACACATAAACACATATACACACATACACACACACATACACGCATATATGCATACACACATACACACACATACACACACACACTTGGGAGGGAAAAAAATTAAAGCAAAGAATGCCTGAGAACAGATGACTGGAGAAAGAAACTATGGTACATCTACACAATGGAATACTATACAGCCATCAGGAAGAATGAAGTCATGAAATTCGCTTATAAATGGATGGACCTGGAGAGTATCGTTCTGAGTGAACTGAGTCAGAGGGAGAAGGACAGACATCAGATAATTGCGTTCATTTGTGGTATATGAAAGAAACAGAGTAGGAGACTCGTACCCAAGGACAGTGGAAACAAGGGCCGGGAGGGCTAGCCAGCGTCGGAAGCCTGCCTCAAGTGGGGGTGGGCAGTTAGGACAGAGAAGGGACCACCATGATTGGTGTTCAAAGACGAAACGTAATCAAATATTGTGTACTACATTATAAAAATAAAATGAAATTAAAAAAGAAAAAAAGAGATAGAGAAGGGGCCACCATGACGATGATAGTTGGCAATGATCATGGTGGTGGGAAATGTACACTGGTGGAGGGACGGGCATTGGAACATTGCATGACTGAAACCCGACCATGAACAGCTTTGTAAGGGTCTGTGTCACAGTGATTCAATAAAAAGCAAATAGATAGATGGGGGCTTAAAAGGTGAACTTTTTTCTTTTCTTTTTTTCTTGGGCTCACACCCAGCGATGCACAGGGGTTCCTCCTGGCTCTGCACTCAGGAATTACTCCCGACAGTGCTCGGGGGACGATATGGGATGCTGGGAATCAAACCCGGATTGGTCGCATGCAAGGCAAACGCCCTACCAGCTGTGCTATCGCTCCAGCCCCAAAAGGTGAACTACTGATGATCGTCTGGGGCTTACTGACTTCCAGCAGGGCAATGGGCCACCGTGGACACCGCCACCCACTGGGGTTCAGGAAGAGATGCTGGCCGGGCCCGCCCCGTCAGAGGCCGGGAGGCAGTTGGATCAACGGGAGACCCCGGAGGCCTCAGTGACCACAGCCTCCTGCTGCTCCTTCCCTCCGTCCCTCCCTCCTTCCCACCCTCCCCGGGCCTCACCCAGCCAGCAGGCCCCAATCATGAGCGCAGCCTCCCTGCGGGGCGGCTGGATGAGGCCGTTGTCGTGGATGAGGGCGGGGTCGAAGGAGATGCCATCCGTGTAGAGGGTGACGGTGGGGAACTCCAGGTTCAGGGCGTAGTGGTGCCACTCGTCATCGCAGACCTGGGTGGGGGGCGGGGTGGGGAAGGACAGGAGACCCTCAGCGCCCTCCGCCTGCAGGTGGCGCCACCTCCTGGCAGGCGGGAGCCTCTGCGGGCATGGGAACTGCTACCCGCCCAGCTGGGAGAACACTGGATGATGGATGGACCTTCCTGGAGGGAACAACGCTATCTTGCCAATACGTTTTTCTGTTTGTTTCTTGTTTTTGTTTGCTTTTTGGGTCACACCCGGCGATGCACAGGGTTGCTCCTGACTCTGCACTCAGGAATTACTCCTGGCAGTGCTTGGGGGACCATATGGGATGCTGGGGCTCAAACCCGGGTCAGCTGCATGCAAGGCAAACGCCCTACCCGCTGTGCTATAGCTCCAGCCCCACCAATATGTTTTTTTGAAACCCTTGTATAAAAGACCTAATGAGAGTCCATCGGGGAGGGAATTTCCCTTGCAAGCAGCTGACCGGAAGTGCCACCAAGGTGGGCCAAGTCAGAGCCCTGAAATTCAAAGGAAAGTTCCAAATATATAGATTTGGGTTTTCAGCAGGAATAACCCACAGGGACAGATGAACACCCTCTAGGGAAAAACTCTACAGAAAAGACCAATAAGCGAAGCCTTTGGAAACACCTAGGGCTGGAGCAATAGTACAGTAAGTAGAGCGTTTGCCTTGCATGCCGCTGACCCAGGTTTGGTCCCCGGCATCCCATACAGTCCCCCAGCATCACCAGGAGTAATTCCTGAGGGCAGAGTCAGGAGGAACCTACAAGCATCACAGGGTGAGGACCAAAAACCAAAATAATAATAATAATAATAATAATTAAAAAACAGGAAATCTGGGGCTGGAGAGATAGCACAGCGGGGAGGGCGTTTGCCTTGCACGCAGCCAACCCAGGTTCGATTCCCAGCATCCCATATGGTCCCCTGAGCACTGCCAGGAGTGATTCCTGAGTGCACAGCCAGGAGTAACCCCTGTGCATCGCCGGGTGTGATCCAGAAAGCAAAATAAATAAATAAAAATTTAAAAAGAATAAAAAACAGGAAATCTTGTATACATGTATGCTTGCATACATGTACATGTGTGTTCATGGATGTGCAAGGCAAGTGCCATTGTCCCTCACAGAAAGCTTAAGGTGCGGGAACACCTCAGATATTTGGAGTTTGCTCCAGACCTCGGAGATAAAACTGAGTCTATAAGGTGAGTCACATGAATTCTTTTGGTCTCCCAGTACAGACAGAAATGATGTTTACCCATCACCATGCATTGCCTAATGATGAGGCGTTCTAGGCATGCTTTGCTGTGCAACTTTGTTATACAAGCATCACAGAGTACAACTAGATGTATCTAGATAGGATAGCCTGCTTCCCACCCCAGCTATCCTGACAGCCAAATGGAACCATTGTTTCCAGTGGAACCATTTCATGGAAGTATTGTTTCCAGTAGGACCACTTCATGGAACCATTATTTCCAGTAGGACCATTTCGATGGAACCATTGTTTCCAGTTGGACCATTTTGATGAAACCATTGTTTCCAGTAGGACCATTTCGATGGAACCATTGTTTCCAGTAGGACCATTTTGATGGAAACAATGTTTCCAGTAGGACCATTTCGATGGAACCATTGTTTCCAGTAGGACCATTTTGATGGAAACAATGTTTCCAGTAGGACCATTTTGATGGAACCATTGTTTCCAGTAGGACCATTTCAATGAAACCAATGTTTCCAGTAGGACCATTTCGATGGAACCATTATTTCCACTGGGACCATTTCATAAAGCCATTGCTATATATGTGAACTCTCTCTATTGACCAACTTCATTAAGCAACACTGGTAACCAGTGGTAACTACCCTAATCTAGTGGGTGAGCAAAGAACTGTGTCTAAAAAAAAAACAAAACAAAAAACAGTACAGGTGCCTTCTTTAAAGATATTTTACTGTGGGAGGGATAGTGGGATCCATGGCGGTGGGAAATGGGCGCTGGTGGAGGGATGGGTATTTGATCATTGTATAATTGAAACCCAAGCACAAAAATTTGTAAGTCTACAACTGTACCTCATGATGTCTCACTAATAAAAATTTTTTTAAAAAAAATTAAAAAAATAAAGTCACTTTAAAGTTCAGCTAAAAAAAAATTTTTTTAAAAATAAAGATATTTTACTGTGAACCAGCATCTGAGTTGTTAGAAAAATGGTGTCAGTAGATTTGCACTTCACAGGATCCCACAAAAAGGAATCAGAGAGACATAGAGAGGGTGGCGGCAGCTCTGCCTTGCGTTCAGCCAACCCTGGTTCTATACCTGGCACCACCTGGTCCCCCAAGCACCACCAGAGCAAACCCCGAGCACAGAGCCAAGAGAAGTCCCTGGGTACCATCAGGTGTGATTCCAAAATCAAACCCAAAAGCAGTGCGGTATCTGTGAGGTACCATCTAGCCAGGTGTGCCCGTAAAACAGAAAGTTTCCCATGGCCTGTTTTCCCCCAGAGGTACAACTGCTTGGTCGCTCTTTCAATTGCTCAAATGGATAATAAAGGCAGAACTTTGTGGTGAGCTGGAGCAATAGTACAGCAATAGTTCAGGGTGTTTGCCTTACATGCAGCTGACCCAGCATCCCATATGCTCCCCTGAGCACTGCTAGAAGTTATTTCTGACTGCAGAGCCAGGAGTAAGCCCTGAGCATCGCTGGGTGTGACCAAGAGAGGGAAGGAAGGAAGGAAGGAAGGAAGGAAGGAAGGAAGGAAGGAAGGAAGGGAGGGAAGGAGGGAGGGAGAAAGGGAGGAAGGAAGGAAGGAAGGAAGGAAGGAAGGGAAGGAGGGAGGGAGAAAGGGAGGAAGGATGGAAGGAATAAAAGAGAGAGGAAGGAAGGAAGGAAGGAAGGAAGGAAGGAAGGAAGGAAGGAAGGAAGGAAGGAGAAAAGATAAAGAGAGAAAGGAAGGAAGGGAGGGAGGAAGGAAGGAAGGAAGGAAGGAAGGAAGGGAGGGAGGAGAAAAGAAAAAGAAAGAGAGAGGAAGGAAAGGAGGGAGAGGGAGGGAGGGAGGAAGGAAGGAAGGAAGGAAGGAAGGAGAAAAGAAAAAGAGAGAGAAAGGAAAGGAGGGAGAGGGAGGGAGGGAGGGAGGAAGGAAGGAAGGAAGGAGAAAAGAAAAAGAAAGAGAGAAAAAGGAAGGAAGGAAGGAAGGAAGGAAGGAAGGAAGGAAGGAAGGAGAAAAGAAAAAGAGAGAGAAAGGAAAGGAGGGAGAGGGAGGGAGGGAGGGAGAGAGGGAGGGAGGAAGGAAGGAAGGAGAAAAGAAAAAGAAAGAGAGAAAAAGGAAGGAAGGAAGGAAGGAAGGGAGGGAGGAGAAAAGAAAAAGAAAGAGAGAGGAAGGAAAGGAGGGAGGGAGAGGGAGGGAGGGAGGAAGGAAGGAAGGAAGGAGAAAAGATAAAGAGAGAGAAAGGAAGGAAGGGAGGAAGGAAGGAAGGAAGGAAGGAAGGAAGGAAGGGAGGGAGGGAGGAGAAAAGAAAAAGAAAGAGAGAGGAAGGAAAGGAGGGAGGGAGAGGGAGGGAGGGAGGGAGGGAGGGAGGGAGGAAGGAAGGAGAAAAGATAGAGAGAAAGGAAGGAAGGGAGGGAGGAAGGAAGGAAGGAAGGAAGGAAGGAAGGAAGGAAGGGAGGGAGGGAGGGAGGGGAAAAGAAAAAGAAAGAGAGAGGAAGGAAAGGAGGGAGGGAGAGGGAGGGAGGGAGGGAGGAAGGAAGGAAGGAAGGAAGGAAGGAAGGAAGGAAGGAAGGAAGGAGAAAAGAAAAAGAAAGAGAGAAAAAGGAAGGAAGGAAGAAGGAAGGAGAAAGGAAGGAAGGAAGGAAGGAAGGAAGGAAGGAAGGAAGGAAGGAAGGAAGGAAGGAAGGAAGGAAAGAAAGGAAGAAAGGAAGAAAGGAAGAAAGGGTGGGTAAGGGAGGGAGGGTAAGGGAGGGAGAGAGGGAAGAAGGGAAAGAGAAAGAGAAAGATCGAAGTGAAAGCGAAGAGAGCCACAAAAATCAGAAACCTCTTGTTCTGGGGATTATATAGGTAGGTGGGGTTTGCAAGGTGGGGTGGGGGGTGGATACATGCCTTGCAAATGTGAGGCCCTGAGTTCGATCCCCCACACCTCCAGCCCCATCCCCTCTCCCCGCTGCATGGCCTGGTGTGGCCCGGTGTGGCCCTCACGGCTACCATGCACTGTGGGGCCGGCATGGCATGGCCTGGCCACCAAACCATCAGGATGTACCAGCCATGCCTTAGCATCCTGACCCCAGCACTGTGGTATGCGGTCCCTAAAAAGAAAAAAAAAAAAACAGCAACTGCAGACAGCCCTCGATCGCCAAGTCTGTGTGTTCCTTCCGTGCCCTTCCTCAGCCTTCCACATCTGGCCTTCTCAGCCGTTCCCTGAGTCAGCCTCTCCCTTGGGGAAAACTGATGAGCCCACACTGGCCTGTGGGGTTCCGCTTCGAGAAGGCTCTCTCTGTGGACTGATTTCCCTCTTTTGTCCATTTGGGGATTTGTCGTTTCTAATAGGGGTGTGAATTCACATGTGAGGTGAGAACCATCGCGAGACTCTCTCTGGATGCTCTGGGGCATCACTGAAGCCTCCTGCCAGTCCGGAGGGGGTGGGGGAGGGGTGGGGGGGAGGATGATTCTCAGGATCCTCCTTTGCTAAGTCCAAGATTTCGGGGTTAGGGGGTCCCTCAAACCATACAGGGTATCTCAGCTGGGTGCCTCAGCATGACCTGCTTTCTCTCTCTCTCTCTCTCTCTCTCTCTCTCTCTCTCTCTCTCTCAAGAGAACTGATTCTATGCTTTTATTTTTATTATTTATTTATTTATTTATTTATATTTTTTGCTTTTTCAGTCACATCAGGCAATGCTCAGGGCTTATTCCTGGCTCTGCACTCAGGAATTACTCCTGGAGGTGCTCAGGGGACCGTAGGGGATGCTGGGAATCGAACCCGGGTCAGCCATATACAAGGCAAACACCCTTCCCACTGTGCTATCGCTCCAGTTCCAGATCTGCTTTCTCAGTTACTCTACCTCTGCCTGGCTGAGAGTCACAAACATGCAGGGAAGGTTCTAGAGAAGAAAGAGATGTTGTGAGGTCAAGCCCAGGGCTATCCAGGGTTCGATCCCTGGCACCACCTATGGTCCCCTGAGCCCGACAGGAGGCAGTCCTAAGTGCAGAGCCAGGAGTAAGCCCTGAGAATCGCTGGGTGTGACCCAAAACACAGTTTAAAAAATAAATAAAAGAAATGACATGAAGTGGGGGGTGAACTAGGAATGATGGGGGACGTGGTCAGTTTGGCTGAGAACTGGAGGCTGAAAAGAGGCGGAGTGATACGCAGGACAGTGACAACTCTGCAAACCACGGTGCCCTTAGGAGGGAAAGTGTCTGCCCTAGAGGTCAGCCCAGGTGGGGGGGAGGAGGGGAAGTGGGGGCACTGGCAGAGGGAAGGGGATGCTGGAGACAGGATGGGTGCTCAAACACTGTACGCCTGAACCCCAGTCACGAATAACTCTGTGACTTGGTAATTCATGGTACACAATGTCACTGTCACTGTCACTGTCCTCCCGTTGTTCATCGATTTTCTCAAGCGGGCCCAGTAATGTCTCCATCATGAGACTTTGTTGTTACTGTGTTTGGCATATCGAATACATCACGGGGAGCTTGCCAGGCTTTGCCAGGCGGGTGAGATATTCTCGGTAGCTTGCTGGGCTCTCCGAGAAGAGCGGAGGAATTGAACCTGGGTCGGCTGGGTCAGTCGCATACAAGGCAAACGCCCTATCCTCTGTGCTATAGCTGTGAGGGCACAATCTGTCACTGTCACTGACCTCCCACTGTTCATCAATTTTGCTCGAACAGGTCCAGTAATGTCACCATTTTTTTTGAGACTTGTTACTGTGTTTGGCATATTGAATACGGCACGGGGAGCTTGCCAGGCTATGCCGTGCGGGCGAGGTACTCTCGGTGGCTTGCCAGGCTCTCTGAGAGAGGCAGAGGAATTGAACCCGGCTCGGCTGGGCTGGCTGCACGCAAGGCAAACGCCTTACCGCTGTGTTATTGCTTCATTATAAAAAGTATAAAAAAGAATAGTAATGTTTTTAAGCAGTGGGTGACGGCGCATTTGCAGTGGTGTTGTATATTTCCATTTTAGGGGGTGTCAGAGCTAGCGGGGGTCATGCGGTACTGGGGATCAAACCCAGGCCTGGTGTGTGCCCGGCATGCACGCCAATGCTCGGAGCAAACCCCGCCCCCCCATTCCCATCTAACTAATCCCATGGCGCTTTCTGCTGGAGACGAGTCTGGGAGCAGAGGGGTCAGGGCTGAGGGCAGACAGAGGCACCCAGAGAAACGGCAGCCCCTGCCCCTGACCCCCCGCCTGCAAGGGGCGAACCCGGGGCCAGGGGCCGGCAGCCTCACCTGTTCCAGCTTCCAGAGGAACTTGACGGGGCGGGCGCTCTCCAGCAGTGGCCAGTAGAGGAAGGAGATTCTGCAGCCGTGGACGGTCAGCGCGTAGTGGGAGAAGCCGTCCTCTGGGGGGTGGGGTGGGGTCAGGTACAGCTGCCTCCCCAGCCCACCGTCTCCCCTCCCACCCGTCTCCCCATCCCACCTGTCTCCCTTCTGCTCTCTCTCCTGTTCTTTCACTCTCTCTCTCTCCTCTCTCTTCTCACTCTCTCCACCTCTCCTCTTTTTCCCTCTATCCTCTCTTTCCATCTCTCCATTTCTGTTCCCTCTCCCTTGTTCAGAGCGGGTGCACACACACACACTCACACAGACACACAAACACACTCACATCCTGAGCATGTCCCATGTCCAGCCCCAGTGGCTCCCGGGGCCCCCTCTGCACCCCACACTCTGAGTGGGCCTTGACAAACACCCCAGCCAGCCACACTTTCCAACCGAGAAGGAGCGCAGGCACGCTGGCTGGGACTGGAAGTGGGCTCCGCAGAGACCCCCCTGGGAGAATGAGCAGAGGGCAGGGGATTGTGGCCAGGGGCCCAGACGCCTTAGGGAGGAGGGGGGATGGGGAGAGAAAGAGGAGGGGCGCGACTCCCCAGGAGAGCTGGCAGGGGTGGGTCTGGGAAACCTTGACATGATGGGGTATGGGGGGGCAGCTGAGAGCAGGGGGGGTGCTGGGGGCCAGGAGGAAACCTCAGCGGTTCAGAAAGCGGCAAAACCAGGAAACCCGAAGGGAGAGGAAAGGAGCAGGCGTGCACACACACACACACACACACACACACATGCTCACACACATATCCACATACGCTCACACACATGCTCACACGCATGCACGCACACACACGCTCACACACACGCTCATACACACGCTCACACACATATGATGTACATACGTGCACACATGCACACAAATGCTCACACACGCACACGCTCACATACACGCTTATACACATGCTCACACACACATATGATGCACATACGTGCACACACATGCACACAAATGCTCACACATGCACACACGCTCACACTCACACACGCTCATACACATGCTCACACACACGCACACACATATGATGCACATATGTGCACAAACGCTCACACACGCACACACTCACACACACACGCTCACACTCACACACACGCTCACACACATATGCTAACACACTCACACATGCACACACATGCTCACATATACATTCACACACACGCTCATACATGCTCACACACCTATGCACACTCACATACACACTCTCACACACATAGGCGGACACACTCACATGCCCACATGCTCAGATATACACACTCATACACACACATGCTCACACACACGTGTTCACACACTCACATACACACATTCTCACAAACTCACGCATGCACATGCTCATATACACACACGCTCTCACACTCACACGTACAGGTTCATACACACATACAAATATACACTCACACATGTTCACAGACACACACATGCACTTGCTCACACACTTGTATACACTCACACACATTCTCCTAACACTCATAAACACGCACAACATGCATATACATATAAACGTACACACACATCCACATCCACTCACACACTCATACACTCATATACATATACACACGTTTGCTCACACACCTGCACGTGCAATCAAACACATACACAATCGCATACACACTCTAGCACTCACACATGCAAACTCGCAAGCACACACACATACATGAACCAGCACACACCTGCATGTACACTCACCACACTCGCAGCACACTTGTGTGCGCACACACACTTCAGCACACGCACACATGCTTGAGCATGCTTGAGCATGCTCACACACGCGCGCACACACGCGCACACACACACCCAGAGCCGAGGGCCAGGAGCGGCCGGCAGGGCCAGGGTCCGGCGCTCACCGTTCTGCACGGTGTGACATACAATGGTCTCCTCCTCCTTCTTGCCCTTGCCGGGGGTGACGCCGTGCTTCATCCAGAAGGACAGGGTGAAGTGGTCGCTGAGGTTGTCATGGGGCCCGGCGCCGCCCACGGGCACCTGCACGGCCTGGGTGCCGTTGAACCAGTAGATGAGGCTGCTGTCCTGGCTGTAGTGCACCGACAGCCCGGCCGTCCAGTTGGCGTTGGGGCCGGGCATGGGCAGCAGGTCCACCTCCCCGGGGGCAGCGCCTACAGGGGCCCGAGGTCACCGCATCAGCGCTGAAGGCGCCCCCGGCCTCCTCGCGCCGCCTCTGCCCTCCGCTCCCCCGCCCGCCCCAGCTGGGACAGGCCTGGAGACGTGGCTGGAGGCGCCTCTTGCACTTGGACCTGCCCAGTCACTCCCCGGCACCCTCAGTGGCTGCAGCTGGAGAGCTGGAGAGCGGCAGAGCTAAGTCTGGGCGGGGCCAGGTACAGGCTGGGTGCAAGAGGCGCTGGGCCACCGGGGTGTGGGGGACGCGGGGGCGCCGGGGCACAGGTGCAGGGGCGCAGGGTGCAGGGACACAAGGACACAAGGGCGCAGGGGCGGGAGGAGGGAGTCACATGGTGCAGGGGCGCCGGGGTGCTGGGACGCAGGGTACAGGGGCAGGGGTGGACGCAGGGTTCAGGGGCACCAGGGCACTGGGATGCAGAGGCGTGGGTCGCAGACGCAGGGCGCAGGGGCGCTGGGGTGCAGGGCGCAGGGACGCAGGGCGAGGGGCGCAGGGGCGTGGGGCGCAGGGTGTGTGGGGCAGAGGCGCTGGGGCGCGGCCTGCAGGGCACAGGGGCGGGGTGCAGGGCAGTGGGGCACCGGGCCAGTGGCGTAGGGGCGCAGGGGCGCGCAGGCGCAGGGTGCAGGACGGGGGGGGGGGGGGGGGGGGCGCGCAGGGGGCGGGGCGCGGGCCACACCCACCACAGAGCTTGCGCAGCGCGCGCTCGGAGTAGTTGTCCCTGTCGCAGCCCTTGGCCACGTGGCTGGTCTGCAGCTCGATGCTGGCCTGAATGTTCCAGAGAGGCTCGTCACAGGTCTCCAGGCGGATGCCAGGGAACAGAGCCAGGCTCCCGGCCCCGGGGGCATACTCGATCCTCTTGTTCCAGCCTGCAGAGGGGAGGCAAGGGGACCGTGGGGAGAGGAAGGGCCCCAGCCCCGCCACCCAAGCCTGTCCCCAGGCCCACCGCCCTGGGGAGCCGAGCCAGACACCTCTTCCTCTCGTTCTCTCTCTCTCTCTCTCTCTCTCTCTCTCTCTCTCTCTGCCTCCTGTCTCTGTCTCTCTTACCATCTCTGTCTCTCTCTAGGTCTTTCTCTTACCATCTCTCTCACCATCTCTGTCTCTCAGTGACTCTCTCACTGTCTCTCTTTCTCTCTCTCTCCTCTCCTGTCTTTTTCTCTCTGTCTCTCTCACCATCTCTGTCTGTCTCTGTCTCTGTGTGTCTCTGTCCCTGTCTCACTGTCTCTCTCTCTCAACATCTCTGTCTCTGCCTCTGTCTCTCTCTGTCTCCTGGCGCTCTGGGGAGACCCAGGGGGCCGGTCCGGGGGCTTCTCACCTTGCCAGCTGGGCTTGCAGGTGGGCTTCACCTGGATCTCCACCTGCGCGTCATCGGCTGCGCGCTTCTTGCCGCAGTCGTAGGCGGTCACAGTGAACCTGTACAGCTTCTCGCCGCTGTATTCCAGCTTCTCCGTGTTCTCGATGTTCCCTGGAGAGGTGCGGGCGAGCAGAGTGTCAGGGACCCCCACCCCCCGGGGGGCCCACCTCCACCCCACAGCAGCCGGGAGGGGCTGGGGTCCGGCGGGGGTCCGCACCGTCGTTGTCGATGAGGAAGGGGGTGTTGGGCGTGAGGATCTCGTAGTAGCAGATCTGGCTGTACTGGGGCGAGCAGTCCCCGTCCACGGCCTCCACGCGCAGGATGCGGTCGTACAGCTTGCCCTCGGTCACGGCCGCGCGGTACAGCCGCTCCACGAACACCGGGGCGAACTCGTTCACGTCGTTGACCCGCACGTGCACGGTGGCCCTGCGGGGGGGAGGGGAGGGGCGGAGCCTTGGCCCAGGCGCCTGGGGGAGGGGGATCGGCCGGGGTCCGAGCCCCCCCAGAGAGGGCCCAGCAGCAGCCCCGGGGAACGTCGAGACAGAAGGTTCTGGGCGGGAGGTCACGCTCTAGGGCTGAGCTGAGGACTCGAGTCACGTGCCGGTGGTGGTTCCCTGGGGGTCCCCTGGCCTTCACGGGCCCTTCGGACCCTGGAGCCCCAACCCCGGGATTGCGGGGACATGTTGGGTTGGGGGCTAAGGCTGGTCCGTGCTGGAGCCATCTCCTGGGCCCTCACTGGGACCCTGTGTGTGTGGGGGGGAGGATGGGGAGAGCACTGTGAGCTAGGGAGAACAGAGAACAGGACAGTGGGCATGGCGGGGGTATGGAATGACTGATGGCAGCTTCCTCCTCCCGGCCTCTTCCTCCTCCTCCTCCTCATCTACTCCCTCCTCTTCCTCATGTTCTCCCTCCTCCCCATCCCCTCTCTGCTCTCCCTCCTCCTCCTCCCCATCTTCCTGCTCCTCCCCTCCTCCTCCCCATCCTTTTTCTCCTCCCCCTCCTCCTCCTTATCCTCTCCCTCCTCCCTATCCTCTCCCTCCCTCTCCTCCTCCCCCTCCTCTCCATCCTCCCTCCTCCCCCTCATTCTCTCCCTCCTCTCCATCCTCTCCCTCCTCCTCTCCATCCTCTCCTTCCTCCCCATCCTCTCCCTCCTCTCCCTCCTCCCCCTCCTCTTCCCCATCCTCACCCTCCTCCCCATCCTTTCCCTCCTCCCCCTCCTCCTCCCCCTCCTCTTCCCCTTCCTCCTCCCCCATCCTCCTGCTCCCCCCTCCTCCTCCTTCCCCAGGCATCAGACAGGGAGGCTGCCTTGACTCAGACCTTCTCCTGGATCTTCATCACAGCCCAACGTGCAGGGCTAGTCACCAGCCTCCTCCTCAGAGGGGCCACTCAGCAATTCTCAAGAGTCTGAGGGTTGGCCCAGGGGCCTCCCCAGGGCTCCCAGGGTGGGGGAGGGGGAGGGGGAGGGCCACCCAATGATGCTGAGGACTAAATTTGGGGCCTCAGGGCCAGAGCGATAGCAAAGCAGGGAGGGCGTTTGCCTCGCAAGAGGCCAACCCAGGGCTCATCCCCGGCATCCCATAGGGTTCCCTGAGCACCGCCAGGAGTCATCCCTGAGTGCAGAGCCAGGAGTCAGCCCTAAGCATCGCCGGGTGTGGCCCCCAAACTAACCAAATAAATTGGGGGCCTTGCTGGACATGGCCCCCACCAACTGACTTCCTGCACCTCACTCCACCGGGTTACCTCCAATTCCCTTGATAAAAACAACCCAGTTACCGGGGGTCTTAGGAGGCAGGGCCAGGCTGCCCCCGGGGTCCCACCCACCATCCAGCCTTCTCGGCACCCCCAGAGCAAAGGCTGGTGAATGGCAGCAAGGACTGGAGTTGTGCTGGCGGGGACAGAGATGGGGTGATGGGTGGGGGGGCCAAGGGGGGAGTAGGGGGCGCTGGGTGTGAGACCCAGGTTGGGGGGGGTCACTGGGCATGGGGCCCAGGTGCTGGGTGTGGGGCTTGGGTGGGAGGACGGGTCGCTGGGTGGGGGTAGGGCAGGGGGATTGGGGGGCGCCGGGCGTGAGACCCAGGTGGGGGGTGGGGGGGTCACTGGGCAGGGGTCAGGCGGGGGTTTGGGGGCACTGGGCATGGGCCCCGGCACGGGCGCCTCACTTGTGGGACTTCTTGGTGTTGGCGCCGTCGGGGCCCTCGCCGCAGTCGTAGGCCTGGATGGTGAAGGTGTGCTCCTTCTGGGCCTCGCAGTCCACCGGCTCCTTGGCCCGGATGAGCCCCTCCCCCGTGGCCTTGTCCAAGATCACGGCCTCAAAGGGGACCCCGGCCCCGTGCAGCCGGAAGCCGCAGATCTCGCCTGGCGGGTGGTGGAGGGAAGAAGAGTTATGGCCCCAGCCCGCCTCCAGGCTCGGCCTTCTCCCCACCGGACGCCCACCTCAGCCCGGCAACCCCCCCTGGGCTGACCACGGTGACCTCCGATCCCACCGCCCCAGCCAGGACTGAGCCTGGCCAGTCTTGCCAGGAACATAACCCCTGCCTGCCCCACATCCTGCTCGCTCGCTCCCTTCCCCTCTTCATGAAGAAGCCTACCCACCTCACATCACCAACCCCTCCCTGGGGGGACCCCCCCACGACCCCAAGCACCTGCGTAGCGTAGGGGGGCGTCCTTGTCCAGGGCAAAGAGCGGGGGGTTCAGCAGAACGGTGTTGTCGTTCTCCATGACGATGCCCTGGTACTCGGCCTCGATCCACGGCTTGTGCTTGTTGGCTGGAGGGAACAGAAGCGCCCCAGAGCCTCAGTACTGCCTGGGCCTGTGCAGACCCAGACATGCCCACAGGCCTTGCACACGCACACGCACACACACACACTCACACACACACCCCAGCCAGCCGGCAGAAGCAACCGCAGGAGGGAGCACTGCAGACGAAGCACTCCGCGTGCAAAGGAGTCAGTGGGTCTGTGGGAGGTCACAGCCTTCTCCTGGCTGCTGCAGTTTCCATGGCAACAGCCTGGAGGGGGGAGCACTGCCCCCCACCCCCCCAACCTCCTCCAGTCAGGAAACATGGTCAGAACTGTTTCATGGGGAGTTTTCTTTAGGGATTTCCAGGGCGGGAGAACAGAGATCTGATTTTCAGGACACAACGCTGGGCCAAGACCCGGGACAGAGTTAGGATGAGAAGATCTAGAAGTTTCCCAAGACCGCATGCGTGCGTGTGCATGTGTGTGTGCGTGTGTGTGCGCGCGTGTGTGCGCGCGAGTGCACGCAGTGCTGTGGGACTCGAACCCAGGCCCTCAGATGCTCAAGGCAAGGTCCTGGCCTGAGATCCGGATTTCTTTTTTTTTTTTTTTGAGCCATCCTCACTGTGTTGATCCTAAAATCCTCACTGCACGCCCCATCCCCCGCCCCGCCCCCAAACCCCAACCTAAAGCCCTGTGGGGGGGGGCCCCCCAGTGGAGGGAAGAAGAGGAGAAAGGACAGAGAGAATATTTATAGGCCAGAGGGAGGGGACAGAGAAGGGCAGGGATAGGACAGGGAGAAATCGGTGCCAGAGAACTGGCCCCCCGCAGAGCCACATCCTCAGGGATTATGGAAGTGACCTAGAAACAAGAACGTCCCTCTTCTTCTCACCCCCCCTCACCCAGCACACAGTTCCCGTGAGCGGCACCCCCACTCCCTGAACCTCTCTTCGGACACAGACTCACAACTTGGGGTCATCACCCCCTCTCCAAGCCCCCTCCCCTCCTCTCCCTCCTTCAGCTGATCTCCCAGGGACAGACTCCCCAAATGTCCCCATTTCCTACCAGGGAGGGGCCGCCTGGGAAGGCGGGGGGGGGGGGGGGGGGTCTCCCCCCTCCCCCCTCCCCCCTCCATCTTTCTGCACCTGCTTCACCGGGACTTGCCCTTGCTCATCTCGCCTTGCCCCCCACCCCGCTCTCAGAGCACATGCAGAGCAGGATATGGGCCAGGGAGGAGAGACCCCAGGGAAACTGAGTCAGAAAAGGGCGGTGGGTGGTGAGCAAGAAGGCCTGCGTCCCGTTCTCCCACCTCCCCCCCCCAACCACACGCCCCCTTTCCTGCCAGGGACAATCCCCCCCCCTCCCTCCAGCTCCCGTCTCTGAAAAGTCAGTGAACAAGAAAGCGCAGGAAGTGACAGGTGAGCCGGAAGCCGGCTGGGGGTCCCAGCAGAGTGGGGAGGGGGTGGTGGCAGCCGCCCCGCTGAACCCCACGTCCACAGCGGCGCAGACTCCTCCCAGCTCCTGGGGCGACTCCTTGGACCCGACCCCAGCTCCCTCCCACCCTCCTCTCTGCTCCTCATTTATTTCCCTTTCATTATTTTAAATTTTTTTGCCTCCCCCTTTGCCCTTTCCCGTCTCCTCAGCCCCCTCCCACGCCTCATCCCCCCTTCGCCTCCCAGCAGCCCCCACACACCCACTTATGCCCTTCCTCGACCTGGGCGGGGGGGCCGGGGCGGGGGTGTCCCCCTCGTTCCCACCCGGCCGCGTGCGTGCGCCAGGGGACAGCGCCAGGGGACAGCTCGGGTGACCCCCAGCCCAGCTGCGTGCGCGCGTGATCCCAGCGGCTCTGCGCAGACACACACACGCCAGGAGCGACGTGCTCGCCACGCCGGGGGCCGCCGGGGGCCGGGGGGTGGGCACCCCCACTCCCTCCCAGGACGAAGCCCCCCGCTGGACAGCACCCCGCGGGGACCAGCCTGGGCCCCCCCGCCCCAGGACGCAGTGACACGGGCGGGGGGCGGGGGGAGGCCGGCCAGGGGGTGGGGCAGGGGTCGCCACCTGTCACCTGCGCCCCCGCCCTCCCCGCCACCCCCCCCCCCCGCGCCCCCGGACTCACCTTTGTTGGCGGCGCCCGCGGGCAGCAGCGCGGCCAGTCCGAGGGTCAGCAGCAGCAGGGCCATGGTGAGGCGCGGGGACGGGGCGCGGGGCGCGACCCTCGGGCCCGGAGGGTGGGCTGCAGGCCCCCGCGGCGGGGAGGGCGGTCGGGCCGGGCAGGGGCTCCCGCAGCGCGCCCCGATGCCTCCAGCCGGCTGCTCGCCCGCCGCTGCCCACCCCGCGGGCTGCTGCAGAATGACGTCACACCGCCAGGCGCGGACGGACGCGGCCGCCGGCCAATCGCGGGCCGGGGGCGGGGGCCAGGTGCTGCAGGGGGGCGGGAGCCGGGGCCCCCGGGGGCTCGCGGAGAGCGTGCTCTAGAGGCGGGCTTCCCCCCACCACCTCCTCTTGACTGCAATCCGGGGGAGCAAGGGAACTGCGGGGGCCCGGGAGGAAGCTGGAAAGACGTAGAAGGGGTGAGGAATCGGGGGGCCAGCGGGGGACTCGAGAGCTGGGAGCCCGGGGGTGGGGAAGGGAGACGTCAGTGGAGCCCCGAGGGAGGTGAGGAGGGGCCGGATTCACGTCACACACAGACACACACACAGACACACACAAGTACACACGCATGCACACACGCATGCACACGCGCGCGCGAACACACGCTACGTATGCACACACGTGCACACACGCAGACACGCATGCAGACACGCACGCACACATGTACGCATGCACACACGTGTACGCACACATGCACGAATGCATGCACACACGCACGCACACATGTACGCGTGCACACGTGCACGCATGTACACGCACTTGTACACGCGCGCATACACACGCACACGCATGCACGCACGCATACACAAACATGCAAACGCACGTGCGTGCACACGCACGCACAAACACACACTACGTGTGTACACCCGTGCACACACAGACGTGCGTGCACACACGCACGCACGCACACGTGCACACACGCACGCACATATGTACACACACGTAAACAAACGTGCAAACGCACATGCATGCACACATATGCGCGCACACACGCATGCACACGTGCACGTGTGCACACACTCACGCCCCAAATCTGCGTTAACCTAGTTGCACAGTTAATGTGTGCCATCTGCAAATCCTGGCTGCCGAATGACCATCAAGTCACACCCTCCCTTTGAACCCCAGAACCCTCCCCATACACACACACACCTTTCTTAGGTCAGTAGTAGTGGTGCCCGGACTTCCAGAGGAGTGTACAGTTGGGCGCGTGCGCGCACACGCGCATGCCCGCCCTGAAACTAGATCCCCGTAGGGTGGGAGCCCTCTGTCCCCCCTTCTTGCTGCCTCTCCCCGAATTTCCCGCTTAAGCCATGATGAAGCAGCCCCTTTGCTTTCTTGACCCAGGAAGTTGGTCCCTTGAGGACAGAGAGTATTCGAATGCACCCATCTCCCATCCCCATAACTCGGGCTGCATCTAGTAAGCATGGGCTGTCCCAGCTCGGGGGACATGGGCAGGAGGTGAATCCAGCTGGAAGAGGACATCAGAGGATCCCAGTCAGTTGCCAGGACTGGGAATCACCACGTCGCCCACCTCCTCTGCAGAGTTGAGGGTCTGAAATGCCCGGCTTGGGGCCCCCGCCCAGCAAGACTGTTTGGGGGAACTCTGGGGGTGAGCACGATAGAATTTTCTTCCTATCCGCCCTGAAATTCTGTTCTGCTGACTGTCCCCACCGCTTTTGTGGAGTTTGGGGGTTGAGTCCCACCCAGCGGCCCCCTGGGGTTATTCTTGGCTCTGTGCTCAGGGCGACCCTTGGTGGTATACAGAGAACCAGATGTGGTGCCAGGGACCGGGACAAGGTAGGCTGCCTGCAAAGCATTGTCTCTCTGGGCCTCCACCACTTCTTCCACCACCTCCCTCCCCTCGGACCCTTCATGTTCCTGGATTTGCAGTTCCAGCACCTTCAGATATTGTTTTGCGAGGCTGGAGCAATAGTACAGCGGGTTAGGTACTTGCCTTGCACGCGGCTGACCCAAGTTTGGTCCCAAGCACCGCCAATCCTGTGCTCAGGAATGGATCAAGAGTGATCCCTGAGCACAGACGAGGGTGGCCCCAAAACAAAAGCAAAAAACTGTTACTGCATCCCCTGGGTCGGGGGCGTGGGGGGAGGATGCAAGCCCAGCTCCTTGCCAGGAGAGACCACCCTCAGAGCTCTGGTAAGCAGAGTGGGGAGTGGGGTGTTCCCCATGCAAAAGTGACCTTCAGACAGCCTCTAGACTGCTCTCTCTCTGCTGGAGACCTGGGTTCCTGCCTCAGGAAAAGCCGCATGCACTCAGACGCAGCCTTGAGTCCCTGCCCCAGCTGGTGCAGACACTCTGGAGCAACTTTTATTACACGGCCGGATCGAAAGTACAGCAGGGAGGGCGTTTGCCTTGCACGCGGCCAACCTGGGTTCGATTCCCAGCAACCCATATGGTGCCCCGAGCACCACGAGGAGTAATTCCTGAGTGCAGAGCCAGGAGTAACACCTGTGCAACACCAAGTGTAGCCCCAAAAGAAAAATAATAGTAATAATAATATAGCACTGTCCTCCCGTTTTTCATTGATTTGCTCGAGTGGGCACCAGTAATGTCTCACAACAAATTATGAAACTTGTTGTTACTGTTTTTGGCATATCGAATAGGTCACGGGTAGCTTGCCAGGCTTTGCCATACGGGCAAGATGCTCTTGGTTCTCCGAGAGGGGCAGAGGAATCAAACCCAGGTCGGCCATGTTGGCCGCATGCAAGGCAAATGCCTTACCCGCTGTGCTATCGCTCCAACCCAATAATAATAATAATAATAATAATAATATGAGAGTGGGCAGGCAGGAGAGTACAGAGTGGGGGCACTGGACAAGGTTGGACAGAAGCTGACGCTGATGGTAGACACAGTGACGAAACGTTTATGCATGAAGCCCTACCACTGTTAATCACAGAAATCACAGTTCCTAGAATAAAACAAAAATTTCTTATGAGCAGACAGACGGTCTTGGCAGGGGTTGGGGGCAGGGTTCTCCCCTCCAGCGGCCGTTTTTTTTTCTGCTCCCTCCACTACAGACCGTGGTGACTTGGGAGGAGGAGCAGCTGGTCTGCGTGCAGAGAGGAGTCGTCCCCAACCGGGGCTGGAGGCACTGGCTGGAGGAGAGAAGTTGTATGTGGTCAGCTGGGCCGGAAGCAGACACCCACTCACTGCCCCCAGCCAAGGAAGGAAAGTTGAAACACTGGGGAGGGGGCTGGAGCCATGGGACAGTGGAGAGAGCGTTTGCCTTGCACCTGGTCGAGCCAGGTTCGATCCCCGGCATTCCATATGGTCCCCCCCGAGCACTGCCAGGAGAGATCTCTGAATACAGTACCAGTAGTAAGCCCTGACACACACATCGTCGGGTGTGACCCAAAAAGCCAAATTCTTGGGCCCGCAGTGACGAAACTTGTTGGGTCTCACGGGATGGGTGGGGGGGAGGTGGAACCGGGCCTGTCCTCCCCACAATAACGAGACCCCAAGTCATCGCCCACAAACGGCCTCTCTGGCTCCTCATCAAGCTGCTCAAAGGCCTTGATCCCAGAGACTCAGAAACAAATCTCGAAGCCCAGCAGCTTTTGTCAAAAATGTGTCCGGACCCCGCAGTAGGTTACTGTCACCGGGCCACCCCAGGGGGGAATGGGTGCTGTCCCTCCGCCTGCTCCCTCTTGGCGACGTGGTGGCTGTCATCCTCCAGAGGCCATTGGACAGTCAGGCTTGGGCCCGCAGTGACGAAACTTGTTGGGTCTCATGGGATGGGGGGGGGAGGTAGAGCTGGGCCTGTCTTCCCCACCCCAGTGAGACCCCAAGTCATCGCCCGCGAATGGCCTCTTTGGCTCCTCATCAAGCTGCTCAACGGCCATGATCTCAGAGACTCAGGAGCAGATCTCGAAACCCAGTGGCTTTTGGCAGAAATTCCTCCAGATATAAGTGTTAAAATTTCAGAATTTCAAAACCACATGGCCCTACTGCAGCCACGCGACATCATATGTTATTCATAACCAGCAATAGAACACAAATTGTCTACTGTTGCCTTTTCAGCAGATCTGAGTGTTGGGGTAAATCTCAAATAATAATGGTGGGCCTGGTGTCGAAATATTGAATGTGATCAAAGTAGAGAGAGAGTAATGTGGAAATCATCTGCCCCACAGGTGGGGGGGGGGGTGTGGGATGGGGGTATACTGGGATTTTTGGTGGTGGAGAATGGGCACTGGTGAAGGTACGGGTGTTTCATTGTATGACTGAGACTTAGACCCAAAAGCTTTGTAACTGCTCTCACGGTGATTCAATAAATAAAATTATAAAAAAAATGGAAAAAGAAAAAAAAAGTAAGGTGGAGTTCATGCACAATTCAATCAGCTAATCAGTGGCTGAATAAATAGCAGTACTCCTACAAAAAAAAAAAACCAAATTAATTAATTAATTAATTTAATTAACAAACACACCAGGGAGAGTGACAGAGGGAGGAAGGGGGCCCAGGGGGGTACATGTCCCTAAATCAGAGCTGGGGACAGTGACCAAGCCAGAGGCATTCGGAACCCAAGGGAAGCTTGGAACGAATCGGGATCAGTTGGCAACAACCATACAGTGGGTGCAAAGTGGGTTCACGTGGGGGACTGGGGGACTCGTGTAAAGGCCCTTGAGGAAGAAGCTCTCCCTGCAAGTGCTGGAGAGTGGGGGCAGGGAGGTCACCTCATGTTTAGGCTGGAACCTAGGGTTCAGCTTGCAACACTGGCTCCAGCCCTGGCCAGAGCCTCATCTTTCTTTTTCTTTTTCTTTCTTTCTTTTTCTTTTTGGGTCACACCCAGCGATGCCCAGGGGTTACTTCTGCCTTTGCATTTAGAAATTACTCCTGGTGGTGCTCGGGGATGATGCCGGGGATTGAACCGGGGTCAGCTGAGTGCAAGGCAAATGCCCTCCCTGCTGGACTATAGCTCTGGCCCCAGAACCTCATCTTCCTTTCTCCTCATCCATCCTCCTCCTTCCCCAGGAGTTGACTGCCGGGAAAGCCATGTGCCAGCAGGTCTTCTGGAAGGTCAGATCGTGGGATCTGAGCCGCGTCCCCGACATGTGCCTCCTCGAAGCTCCGAGGGTCCCAGAAGGCAGCCCGTCCCCTGCCCCGATGCCTCCTTGCAGTCCTCCCCTGTGCCATTAACCTGTCACTTTGTAGCCCCCAGGCTGTCCTCTCTGCCTCTTTCCACCACCCCGCATCTGTTCACAGGGTCCAGGTTCAAGGTCTGGCCTCCGGGTGAAAGACCCTCCCCGAGGGGAAGTGGCCCGGGAGAATGGCCCATCTCAGCTCCTGAAAGTCGGATGGCCTCTGGCTGCTCCAAGCATGAAGTCTGCCTTGAGTTCCTAGAAAGTCAACTCAGGAGCATCTGGAGGACCTGGTGGGGGGTCAGTGGGGGTGGGATGTGCTCAAGAAATTAAATAGGAGTAGAAAACAAATTATTTCACAATACCTTTTCAGCATGTCTGATTTGGGGGTGTAAACTCTAAATAATAATGGTGCATCTTCTGTCGAAACAATGAATCTAATCAAAGTAGATAGAGTGTTAACTAGATTTCATCTGCCTCACAGGCATTGGGAGGGTTGGGGGGTGTTTATTGGGGTTCTTCATGGTGAAAAATAAGTATTGGTAAAGGGAAATGTGTTTGATATTTGCATGACCGAGACTTAAACCTGAAAGCTTTGTAACTTTTCCCACAGTGATTCAATCAATCAATCAATCAATCAATTTTTAAAAAATTAAACAGGAGGGGGTTAGAGCGATAGCACAGCAGGTAGGGCGTTTGCCTTGCACACGGCCGACACAGGTTCGATTCCCAGCATTCCATATGGTTGCCGAGCACCACCAGGAGTGATTCCTGAGTGCATGAGCCAGGAGTGACCCCTGTGCATCGCCGGGTGTGGCCCAAAAAGAAAAAAAAATTAACAGGATCTTCTAGTGGTCTTTCTGCCTCTCTCCAGGAAAGCCCAGCAGAGCGAGCTGAGAAACCACACTGACCCATGTGAAGGCGTCTGGCCGGTCACTTGCTGTCCTCCTGCCTGTCTGAGAGGACAGGATTTCTGGCCGTTGCTGGCCATGGCCCGAAAGTCCCTAAAACCACCTGTCCCCAGAGCCTGCCTGGGAAGCCTCCAGACCCCCCACCCAGGAGGCAACGCATGGACTAGACTAGGCCAGGGCCTGCAGAGAGAAAGATGAGGGCCACCGGGAGTGTTTATGTCCCAGCAAAGAGAAGATGGACCAGCAGTTCTGGCTCCAGGCCCCTGTGCTTAAAGGTTAACTAAGGGAGGGGCCGGAGGAATAGCACAGCAGATAGGGTGTTTGCCTTGCACGCGGCTGACCTGGGTTCGATCCCCGGCATCCCATATGGTCCCCTAAGCACCGCCAGGAGTAATTCCTAAGTGCATGAGCCAGGAGTAACCCCTGAGCATCGCTGGGTGTGACCCAAAAAGGAAAAAAAAGTTAGCTAGGCATTGGGGCTGTAAAGATGTAAAGACAGCACAGTGACCTTAAGTATTCCCAACCCGGATTCGATCCCTGGCACCCGTAGGGTCCCCTGAGCTCTGCCAGCTGTGCTCCCCTCCTCCCCAAATAAGACCAACTAGGAGACAGAGCTAAAGAGGAGTGAGTGAAGAGGGCAGGGTCCCCCCTCTCAGGGCCCTAACATCACTGTCCAGCCTCCGCCATCTCCAACAGAGAAGAGGGCAGTAGGCAGAGGCGGGGGGGGGGGGGGTTGTGATGTGATGGAGAGACCCACCCATGAGCTGAACGCCGACCCCTCCCTGCTACAGCCAGGCCCGCAGCACACGCTCACCACAGTCCCACAAGAGTTCGGCTGGTGAGGCTCATGGTACCTCACACCCGGGGGGATCTGGGAGTGGAAAGAAAGACCCTTCCAAGTCCCTTTCTGAGGCATGGGGAAACGGAGGGTACATCCTCCATGCAGCCTGGCCAGCCCAGGGCACCAGGGCCCCGCAGGGTCCCCAACGCCCCCCCACCAAGCCTGTCCTCTGTGCTTCTCCCTCAGCCAACACCCCATATGGAGAACTGCCTCAGAGCCTGACCCCGAGCTTGCAGGCCCAGTCAGGACCCAGAGAAAGCGGTAGGTCCCCCCAAACACCGTCCTGGACACCGTTCGCCTTGTGGGTGCACATCCAAGGGAGCTGGGTACAGTCAGAGGCCTGGAGACAGCGCCCCCCCCCCCCCCCCCACACACACACACACACCCCAGAGGATGCAAAAAGCCAGAGCAGGACAGAGCTGGTGGGGAGGGGCCGAGTTCCTGGGACCTAAGCCAGCCGGGGCAGCTGTTGGCCGTGTGGGCAGCAGGGGGCGCTGCACATGCCATGCCATGCGCTCTCTCTCTCTCTCTCTCTCTCTCTCACACACACACACACACACACACACACACACACACACACTCAGACACCTTCATTCACAATCTGGATAGTCCGTTCCATCACACATACACACATACATCACACATACATATTCAAACAGTCCTTATCTCACACATACACACTCACACACACATACTCCCAATCTCTCTCTCCCTCACAGACACAGACACACACACACACTCAAATACTCCCCCCCACCTCTCTCTCTCTCTCTCTCTTTCTCTCTCTCTCTCTCTCTCTCTCTCTCTCTCTCTCTCACACACACACACACACACACACACACTCTGGATGGTTTCCTATCACAAATACACACACAATCTAGATAGTTCCCTATCACACACAAAATCTAGATAATTCCCTGTCACACACACACACACACACATCAGAGTCCTCACACTCACCTCACAAGACTCCCCATCAGGTTACTACATGACTTCTTAGAGGAAAGAGCCCGTCACAGGGCCACTAACAGTGATGAAGCCTGGGGGGGGGGGGGGGCGGACAATGAGGAAGGATAGTCAGATTCTCGACAGATAGCAGGGTCCCGCCCCTGCCTTTCTGGAGGTATACCGGGCTGTGGCTCCCACGACAGACGCATTCACCTTAGGCATTTGAAACGGCTGTTTCCACCTCAGATGGGAGATTCCCCTCTAAAAACCAGGCTGCATCCCAGTCCACCCCCACCCAGCAGCACCAAACACCCACAAACAAAACCCCACGTGCTCCTGTCATCTTGCTCCTTTAAGCTCAGAAGGAAACACCCTACAGTGGCAGGGGTGCGGCAGCCTTCTGAAGCCATGGACAGCCCAGCCCACCCCACGGCACCCCTCTTCTCTCAGCTTCTTTCTCCCACATGCTCCCCATGGAAGGGGTCTAGCAGACGCCCCCTAAAAGGCTGCCTCAATTCAATCTCCATGTCAAAGTCTTGACAGATGGAGACTTTCCTCGCTAAGGTCAACAGCTGTGCCTGTGAGTTCAAAGTGTGAGGGTGCGTGATGCGTAGGTCCCGTGGCCAAGAACCGCCTCCCCGGCCTCCCCAGCAGGGGAACAAAGGGACAGGGGACCACGGACTGATGGTCAACATGGCCCATTTAATACAGAGCTGCTAGTGTACTTCTAGAACAGCTAAGGGGAATTAAGGTATAGGACGCATGTAGGAGTGATTGATCATTTGTGGAGATAAAGTGTTTCTGCAAAGACAATTCTCTTGGGGAGATTCACTCAAGGAGACGCTCTGTCTCCAGGGACATCTATATTGTTTTTCTCTTTCCCTAACCACTAGTAAATATTAAACAATTAAGTTTTACTTCTGATTAATTCTTGCAGTTATTTGGATAAACAGAGTAAGAGATATGGATTCCAAACTTAGTTCTCTTGGACACCGAGGGCAAGCCAAGCTTTTACCGTAAATCCCAGACTAAGACCTCAGACCGGTTCAGCTTGTCCTTCCCCATGGGGGTCCTGTCTCTTAAGCCATAACAGCTTGCATTAAGACCATGCATTTGTGCTTTCAAGACTGTCCCACTTCGGGACTGGAGAGATAGCACAGCGGTAGGGTGTTTGCCTTGCACGCGGCCGACCCAGGTTTGATTCCCAGCATCCCATATGGTCCCCTGAGCACTACCAGGAGTGACTCCTGAGTGCAGAGCCAGGAGTGGCCCCTGTGCATTGCCAGGTGTGATCCAAAAAGAAAAAAAAAAGACTGTCCCACTTCAGAGCCAGGGTAGCTTTGCCACTCACCTCGGGTCCATCCCAGTCCCACAGTGGGACCTCCCTTTGTGGGGTGTTTGTAACTACAGCAACCGAAGCCTGAGTCAAGTAATTATGACCAATGCCCAGGAGTAGAAATATTTCCGAGTCAATCAAGTCCCAAATACTAGGAGCATAGCATTGACAGTCTTTCTGTGTTTAAGCAAAGAACCTTGCTCTATATTAAAATATGAAAAGTTACAGGGGAAACAGAAAAGCAAGTAATTTACTACAAATCCAAAGTCCAGAATCACCAAGTTTTGACTTGTTTGTAACCAAGACTGACTTGGGGAATGTAACAATGAGAGGTAAAGAGCAAAGAAAAGGTTGAAGATAAACTCGGGGGATTAGGGGTGCTCTAAGAGCACTGTAAGCTTCTCTGGGGGAAGGGATGGGGCAATTCACTGATGAAACCTGAAACACTTAGGGTTAATATCCAACAGTGTCAGATACTCTCTAGCCCTACCATGGTTTCATCAGCCCCTCGGTTACCAGAACTGACCCAGATGCTTCGGCCTCACAATGCTTGGTCCAGCAAGATCTCCTGATACTGCAGCCTGTGTCGAGCACCAAAATAAAAGGTCTTAAGTTGCAGAACAGGGCAGAGTCTTCTGCCCCCGCGCCTGGCTGTCCTCGCTGGGGCCCCTTGGAGGAGAGCGGGTTGAGTTTCCCTCCCCGCCCCGACCAGGGCTCCGGCAGCCGAAGACCTCCAGAACCAGCCACCACCATGCTGAGACCACTCTCCGCACACATGAAAGTACCAGCAAAGGAACAAAGGCATGCGGGTCCTGGGGCTGAGATCTCCAAGCCTGCTCAGATCGGGGCTGAGCATCCCCCACCCAGATCCTCCAAATTCCAGTAGGCAGGGGTCACATCCACCAACTGCCCCATGGCGCCGTGTAATCTCATCAGTGGCCAATACCCAGAGACTATAAAACCCAGCTCCCGAAAGCACGGCCACAAATGCGGCTGCGTGACACCTTACTATCTCATTCTTACTTAGGACAAAATGGCAGGCTTCTGAATGTAACCTGCCCACACGGCAGTCTGGCAAACTCCCCGTGGTGTACCCAATATGCCAAATACCAGTAACAATGATGGGTCTCATTCTCCTAACCCTGGAAGAGCCTTTAATATGGCACTTTAAAAAAAAATCTCGGGGCTAGGACGAAGGAGCCGTTACTGGGGCCTGCTCGAGGCAATCGATGAACAACAGGATGGTCGCGATCGTGATCGTGAAGTTGCAGGAACACAGCCTCTCTGGGTCCGATCCACGGGGTGATAAAAGAATTTATCAAGAGCAAGTCAGTTTAAGAGCAAAGCAACTTTACTACAGAAAACTAGTACGTTATTCTCCTGATGCAACGAAGCCTCTATCTTTGGAGGTCTCCTGGTTCTGCACTCAGGGATCACTTCCTGGCAGGCTCAGGGGGACCCTTTGGAGCACTGGGGATTGAACCCGGATCAGCCGCTTGTAAGGCAAGTTGCCCTAACGCTGTATTATCTCTCCAGCCCCCACCACTCCTTTCTGAGCAGCCCAAAAGGGACAAGTGTTATTCAGATGTAGGAGAAAGAAAAAGGGAAATGGAATCCAGAGAAATACATGGTGGGTGACCCTGGGCACAGAGGCAGTCTCACCCCTGAACTTGTTGAAGGAAGAGATGGCACAGCGGTCTAAGGCAAAACTGCCTTGTTTTTTGGTTTTGTTTTGTTTTTTGCTTTTTGGGTCACACCTGGTGATGCACAAGGGTTACTCCTGGCTCTGCATTCAGGAATGACTCCTGGCGGTGCTCAGGGGACCAAATGGGATGCTGGGAATAGAACATGGGTTGGCCTCATGCAAGTGAACGTCCTCCCTGCTGTGCTATTGCTCCATCCCCGAAAACTGCCTTGCTATTGATAGGCAGGACACACGCAGGAAAAGGAGAGAGAGATTCTACAGAGAGAGAAAGAGAGAGAGACAAGAAAAGTGTTTGCTGTAGAGGCAGACTAAGGCTGATCGGTAGCAGGAGGGAAACTGGGGACATTGGTGGTGGGGAAATTTACACTGGTGAAGGGATGGGTGTTAGAACGTTGTATGACTGAAACCTCATCAGGAACAACTTTATAACTGTGTATCTCACGGTGATTTAATGAGAAATAAATAAATTAAATACATAGCACAGTGGGTAGGGCGTTTGCCTTGCACGAGGCCAACCCAGTGGACCCGAGTCCGATTCCTCCGCTCCTCTCGGATAGCCCGGCCAGCTACTGAGAGTATCTCGCCTGCACTGCAAAGCCTGGCAAGCTACCCATGACGTATTCGATATGCCAAACACAGTAACAAGTCTCACAATGTTACTGGGCCCACTCGAGCAAGTCAATGAACAACGGGAGGACAGTGACAGTGACATAAATACATAAACGTGTGCCTTTGGACAATCTACGGGCGAGGGAGCCCTGGTCCTATCTCCTTGGGGCGCGCACAGAATTCCTCTCCCTGGGACCAGACAAGGTTTTTTACCAAGAACTTATCCCTTCTGCCCTTCCTCTGTTTGGTCCTTTATCACCACTCATAGCTGGACACTCCGCTGTACGTCTTGGAAAAAGGTATCTTCAGGGTCCCCCCACACCTTCGGCGGGGCATGGTAATACTGGAAGGAGGTTTCTGTGCTGGCAAGTGATGGGAGGTTGTGGGTATGTGGGTGAG